TATAGGACTTGGTCATGCTCATGTAAGCTTCAGGCAGTGCCAAATACTGAAAAGCAGTGAATGTGGGATACAATTTATTCTTGGTTTGGCCTTTTATATCGTTCTGTGTCGGTGGATGGTAAGCAGAAAGAAATCTTTTATGCTACTTTTAATTAAAAGCACTTCTTCTCCTGGTTCAGTTCTTGGATTGCTGACAAAAGTAGGGAACTGCTTTCTTTTTGAATAGATGAAATTTGCTTGAGCTAACCTTGCTGTTTATTATTTTGTTTTGCTTTATTGAAATACAGTAACTAACCAATCTCTTGCACAGGATGAATCTATTCAGAAGCTTTGCTTTAGCTTAAACCTTTCTATGATTATTCACATTCATCATCACAGATGAATCTTTGCAAAAATGCTAACTTGGAAAGATAATAATGTATTATATTTTATATATACACTATATATCAGAAAATGAGTTTGAATGAACACATGCTTTAAAGTACATAATCAATGAGTTTAACTCCTCACATAAACATTTAGTTATTTATTGATTTCAACAATTTCTGCATAATAGTATTTCTTGCTTCGTGAGAGTAGGTCTAAATATTACAGTTATTTAAAATAGTAACTTTTCATGGAAAATGCGTTGCTAAAGATAATTTGTGTATATCGGTACTGATCCATAATTTGATTAATCTGAAGTATTATGTTTTAAGGGTTCCCAACTTGCAGAAATTCTAAAATACATGTATTTATGAAATACATAGATAAATGGCTATTAATTTTATCTTTATATAAGGACTTTGTATTCAAATCCTAGTGTTTAAAAGCAATGCTCACATGCACACACATGCACACACATTTAATTTTGTCTTTACATTAAGTTCATGCATTGTGGCTGTTAACATTACAGATTGAATTGTTTTATAGCACATGCAACATTTTCTTTAAAGAAAAGAAAAGAAAAGAAAATTGGAATCTCAGAGCTGTAGGCTAGATTAGGAAAGTGGAAGGAACATCATTTAAAATGACAGTGGCAAATCATGGATGTCTCTATTAAATCACCAGGAAGCGAGTTTAACTTGAGGGAATGTTTATTCATCTGTGAACAAACATTCCCTCAAGTTATGTAGAAACCATAGATTTATTTTTACTACTAAATAATTGGCTTCAGCAGTTTCTGTTAAGTTTCCCAGATCATCTGGCAAGCCACTATTGGAGACAGTTTATTAACACCTTTGATCTGTGACTTTTCTTGATTCCTCAAACCCTGATGAATAAGAAAATGTGCAAAATATTCTGAAATATCACTTCCACATGCAACAGTTAAATAAAGATCAATTTGTATTACTGTAGAGGTTCAGAAATAGCCTGAACTTTTGTATATCAGAAATCTAGTATACTGCTTTTCTCCACTTTAGGAATAAACCTGGATTTTCTGTAGTCCCAGCTAATGCTGGGTAGATATATAGGGCCAGATTGTCTTTTTGGCAGATTTCAATAAATTTATTTTGTTTGTTTGTTTATTTAAAATATTTGTATAACCACTCATCTTAAACACCTCTGGGCAGTTCACAACAATAAAATTAAGTATAAAACATAAGTCATAAAACTATTTTTTAAAAAAGCAGCACTTCAACTGGTTTCTCGTAACCATCTCCAAATATCCTCATTCTATCTCAATATATATACATCTTTTAAAGGTTTTATGTATGTTAAAATGCTGCATCAGACACTCTTAGCCATATAACCTTTTAAGATAATCACCCAAAAAATAGCTGTACTGGAAACTTTTAACACTACCAGCAAAATCTGTGCGTTTGAATATTGTGGCAATAACTTCAAAAACCTGAACAGTGACAGTTGCATTGGGCTTGATTGTGTTCCTTGCAAATTCTGTCACATAAAGATAAATAGATGAAATATTATTTTCAGGATTGTTTAAGGAATGAGAAGGCCCGATGCAACATCAAATATGGAAGCACTCTTCTGTATCAGTTTTAGCGTATGATTTCCAGTAGATTCTACAAAATGAGATGTAAGAGGAAGAATCAATACATTTTAGAAGAAATAACTCTTTCTTCTGATGATGTACAGGAACAGAACAGATTCCCTCACTAGGCAGTAAATTCTGCCTAGGAGAATAACTTGGTTGACTGATGTACTGTTTTTGTAACAAGAACAGAGTCTATACCCCATCAAGAAATGGGTTATTAAACGATGCTGCCCGTGGTGGGAAAAAAAATCAGTGTCAGATTTGGAGTGCTAGACAAGACAGAATGACTGCTAACCTCTAATACAGTGTTTCTCAACTTTGACAACTTTAAGATGGGTGGACTTCAACTCCCAGAATTCCCCAGCCAGCAAATACTGGCTGGGGAATTCTGGGAGTTGAAGTCCACCCATCTTAAAGTTGTCAAGGTTGAGAAACACTGCGCTAATACAATTATATTTTCCAAACTTAAAATCAGACTGAGGGAATGTATACAATAAATTGCCAATGTGGGCATAATTATATTGGGCAAACTGGAGAATATCAGCATCCTGGAACATTGCAACAGATTTTTCTCCAGACTTATTAGAGGGTCATTGTATATCCATCCGAAATAATTAATAACAGAACAGAGTTGGAAAGGAAGTCTTCTAGTCCAACTCCCTGCTCAAGCAGGAGACCTATACCATTCCAGACAAGTGGTTGTCCAGTTTCTTCTTATAAACCTCCAGTGATGGAGCACCCACAATTTCTGAGAGAAAGCTGTTCCACTTCTTCATTGTCCTCACTGATAGGAAGTTTCTTCTTAATTGCAGGTTGCTTCTCTCCTTGATCAGTTTCCATCCATTGTTTCTTCATCTTGCCTTCTGGTGCTTTGGAAAATAAGTTGACCCCCCTCTTCTTTGTGGCAGCCCCCCAAATACTGGAACAGTGCTATCATGTCAATCCCAGTCCTTCTTTTCTCTAGACTACCTAATTCTTGCTACCATTCTTCATATGTTTTAGTCTCCAGGCCCTGTAACCAGCTCAATTATATTGGTGTAACTGAGTTCCCCAAAACACCAATGAGCTGGTTATTCAGATGTAAGGACTTTGAGCAAATTAAACTAGTTCCCATACATAGGAGAACTATTAAGAGCTATAATTTTCATGGTATTTATGATTGTTTGTGGGTATTATGCTACATTGAATTCAGGCTATATATAAAGATGTAACAACTTGTTCCAAGTTTAGTTTTAGTTCTATGAAAAAAAGAGTTAAATGACTAGTAAAAATCAGTTCTGTCATTTCACTAATAAATAGCCATGAAATAGCAGTTTATACTCTATGAATAATATTATTTATTAAAGATACCAAATCCAAGTGAAATACAATGCTTTTGCTAAAAGGAACAAATGCAGGCTTAAAGCAGAGAAAAAGTGGAAAAGAAGCATTATGAAAAGTTGTTGGCTTTGAAAATAATCTGATGATGAAAATATAGTTTTGAGAGAGCTAGATGAAGAAATAAGCAACACAAGAGGTTTAGAACACAGTACTTGGAGTAAAAATGTAGAATTGGCATTGTGACAATTATTCTGGACCTTATTTAGCATTACATAGCAGGTGGGAGCATGTATAGGTAGTCCTTGACTTACAAGAGTTCATTTAGTGACCATTCAAATTACAATAGCACTGGAAAAACTGTTTTTCACACTTATGACTTTTGGAGCATCCTCATGGTCACATGATCAAAATTCAGATCCTTGGCAACTGACTCGTATTTATGACCATTGCAGTGTCCCAGGGGTCATATGATCATCTTTTGCAGCCTTCTGAGAAGCAAAGTCAATGGAGAAGCCAGATTCACTTAACAACTGCATTACTAATTTAAGAACTTCTATGTGTCACTTAACAACTTACAGCAAGAAAAGTTGTAAAATGGGGCAAAACTCACTTAACAAATGTCTCACTTAACAACATAAATTTGGAGCTCAATTGTGGTCGTAACTCAAGGACTAGCTTGACTAACTCAGTCAAGGAATCTTGACTGATCTTGAAAAAGTAAACATGGTCAGGCATGATGAGAAAACTGCTAGGAAAATGTCAGAATTGTAGCTAAACTAGGAGTTGGAGATGCATCCCAGAAGGTAATTGCAAAATATTTCCATACTATGGAGTATATATGAATGTGACTTGGTTGGGAAAATTGAGAATTAACAGAACTGGCAGTGCAATAGGGTACTTCAGGCAACATCAGAAGGGGAAGATAAATAAAACCTGTCTGAAAGATGCAATAAATCAATATTAGAAGTGGCCCTAATATGTAACTACTGTGTCTCAGATGTGAGAATATAATTAAGGCATTTGGTAATAAAGCAATATCAAAAACTAGGCATCAAGTGAGCCTCCTTATGCAGGCATCCCGCACAGAGAGGCCACAGCTACCTACAAAAGGCCTTTCCATGCTATTATTTTGAAGGTCTTTGTGAGTAAACATACATGGAGATTATATATTTACCCACCAGAGGAGAGCAGTGAGCAAAATGCTTTGGCTTTGTATTTTCCTCTGTTTCTTTTGGCATTTTTGTTGTAGCGAGTTCTGAAAAAGTTGAGACAAAATGGATGTACTCCAGTGCAAGAGTGTGCCTACTTAAGCATCAAGAGAACTTCAGATTCCATGGAATAGACATTCCCATGTTCCAGCCATGCAAAATTCCCTTGTCACAAGGGAGGGGAGGGGGAATCTGAAACTAAAACTGAGTCTCTCATCTCTGAAAGGAGTTGCCAGTCTATTCAGTGGCTTCTTGGGGCCTAGTGAGTTCCTGATATGAATAGGACAGTACAAAATCCATAGTTCTAGTTCTCAGGACAAAAGGAATACTGGAGTAATATATTTTTAATCTCTTCTATTTTACAAACAGTTAGGATGACAAAGCTTGTAATTTTTTCAAAAGACATTATTTGTCAGAGTCTATTGTGGGATATAACTGGTTTCTTTTTTCATGATTATCAACTTTCTTATAATTTTATATTTTATTTCTAATAGAGAAAGAACAATTGTTTCAGAATTTGCTGGAGCAAGTGGTTGAACAACTTTCAAGGTAACCCTTTTTCTATACAATAATTTTAAAACTATGGAGCTTCCACAGAGGACTCCTGCCCTGGGGCTGATTTGCAATTTCAGTGTGTAACTTGCAAGCCTGGAGCGCCACGGAACTTGGAGGCAAGGCCATTTTCAGAATTGCAGAAACTTTTACCTCACCTTGCCTGTCCTCACTTGAACTTGGTGCTTCTCTAGTCAATTTCATAGGCAAACAAATCAGCAAACCTGATCTTCCAGTCAGTTTCTAAATTCCTGCACAGCTCTACTTTCTTTGCTTGTGTAAAGAGTATCCCTGGATACTTGCCCCCTCTCACTCACATTCCAACATCTGGTTTCAGGGAGCCACCACTTAACTGTACAATTTGAGGCCCTACCCTACCATGGCTGTACCTAGTGGGAAAATCCCTGGCTGTTAGCTAGAACTTATGTGAGACCATCATCTTGGTTTTCAGTCATATGCAAAAAGGAGGTATTTGGATAGCCACAAAACTTTCCCCTCAAACCAACAGGTCAGATTTTTTGAACTGAACAACAAAAGCTAGTGTGCTGTAGTGGTAAAGGTGCAGAACTAGAAATGGGGAGGCCCAGACTCTCATCCATCTACAGCTGCATAAGCTTACTGGATGATTCTGGGCAAGTCACCCTCGCCTAAGCAATCCCACAGGGTGGTTGTTGTAGGGCAAATAACAGGACAGAGTATGATCTGTGCCACCTTGAGCTTATATATAACAAGTAGAATACAAATTAATATAGAAATGCCAGTAACATATATTGGAAACATGGAGGAGAGGGCTAGCAGAGTGGTATTTTAGCTTTCTAGGTGAGACAGAAGTGAGGGGAGTTTTCTTACTCTAGGAGCTACCATAACTTGGAAGAGAGGGCACTGACTGAATGGCAATTTTTACATTGGTCTACTTGTTATTCGAAATCTAGCAAGATTAAAAAATACCGTAAGATTTGTTTCAAAATGCTTTGGTGGTTTAGGAATAGAAATGGTGCTGTGCTGAAGAGCCCTATTGTACATCCTTCCTTCCTTCCTTGCAGTTCTCAAACAGTGTAGTCTGGAGTGGGGAAAATGGATAAGATTTATTCATTGAAGGCTACAAAAATATGCATCCATGATTGAAATGAAGCCACTTTAAATCCAGTGCTAAGGAAACATTCCCCTTGTTGCAATGTATACACTTTCTTCATATTGAAAAAGAAAAGAGAATTATCTTCATTATAGATGAAGTTTTAGGAAAAATATACATTTAACTTGAATCAATTTCATAAAATTAAAATTAGCCCAAATCATGGCCAGTTTATTATATTTGAATAAACATGGATATGCAGTTGCCCATTCTAGAAGTGTAAAACTGTATATCACTATAAGTTTATATTTACATGTAGCAAATAAAGCACTCCTAACATGTATACTGATTCCTCCATTTATTTCAGAGAAGAATTGTTTTACATGTCACTCATGAAGGAGCCTTATCTTTCCTTCTAATCTGAATTAAATGGGGAACCTTTATGGACAGGAGGGGATCCATAGGTTGAATGTAAGATTTTCATATCAAAAGCTGATCTTTAGCTGGGAAATAGATAGTAACTGGACACCTTTAGTAGTTTTATTTTGAAGTATCTTTCAGTGCATTCAGATATTGCCTTTCAGTATTTATTTTCCCATCAACAGATATTATGTTTTTCACGCATACCTTCTTACTTAAGTTTGGGACTGTTGTTATTTCCTCTCCAGGGTATTTAAAATTGATGAACTGAAAACTGAAGTATTTAATCAACTGGCAATGCTGGAGAAGAGAATGGAACGTGAGTTCTTTTTTTCTACTAGTACAACAGAATAGAAATTTTATTGGTTTAATCATCTGTCCATATTAAATATATAAAATGTATACCAGTAAATACAAAAAAAAAAATAGTAGGATATATTCCTGATAAATTGACACACTATAGTTAACCCCAGTCAGATCTAAACAAGCTGTCCTCTTCAAAATGGCCTTTGATATACAGACTGTGGCCTTATTAGTGATATGCAGATTCATTCCCTGCAGAAAGTAACATAGTTGCTCCTGGGTGCCCCAATATTTTTGTTGTTTTTAAATACTCTAAATAACCAGTCCTTTTTGCAGAATACAGTTTGCAATCAATGAGGATATGTGCAATGTCTTTAACTGCTGGTGCATCACAGATACACAATCTTCCTCCAAATGGAGTTCCATAAAATCTCTCAGATCTTATAATGAAATCAGATTGTTCAAAATGAGCTTTAGAAAAAAAACCTCTTTGATGTTGAGGCATATAAATTGTTAAATATTTTTCTAACTGGGAGGCTAATTTGGGTTGAGCCAAGCATTTCAAGGAATGTGATGCAATATCATCTTGGGCAGCCACATCCATTTAGTTTCTCTGAAATATTTAATAATAATAATAATAATAATAGTAGTAGTAGTAGTAGTAGTAGTAGTAGTAAAGTTGGAAGGGACCTTGGAGGTCATCTAGTCCAATCCCCTGCTCAGGCAGGAAACCCTATACCATTTCGGACAAATGGCTGTCCAGTCTCTTCTTTAAAACCTCCAGTGTTGGAGCATTCACTGCTTCTGGAGGCAGGTTGTTCCACTGGTTAATTGTGCTAACTGTCAGAAAGTTTCTCCTTAGTTCTAGATTGCTTCTCTCCTTGCTTAGTTTCCACCCGTTGCTTGGCCTTCAGATTTGCTTGGACTGGGAATTGGATAGAGAATCGATATTGTGAGATGGCATTTGAAAGCTGGGCAGCCCAAAGCACCAGGGCGCATATTATGCAACTGTTCTTCAAAACCAAGCTTGAGATTTTTTCTAACAAGCTGAAGCCTAGAATAAATTTGCGTCCATGTGAGATTTTAATCTTTTTGTGAACATACAGTACCTTGTGCCTTCTTTTGGGCAGGGTATAGTACAGTATTGGAGAAAGAGAAGGGGGAAAAGCAGCCATTCAAGTCTAAAATTCTTCATTCTCATCTTACGTCATTTGTACAGAAAGTTAATATAAAATCTTTAATCATGTACAGTAAGTTTATATTCTTCTCAATAACCTGAGAAGTCTGCTGCAGTTCTAGATAAGATCCTTTAATTGTGATTCTTTCTCTGAAAAGCAAAATGAAGGCCATGTTCAAAGGTGTTCTGAGTACTGTCTAAATTTAGTGGCAGATTTGCTGAGAAGGAAGTCTGCAATATTCCAAAGTTGTAAGAAAATCTTTACCTTGGATCCTAGAAGTGCAAAATTAGGAATATTTAAAATATAGTTCTTTGGGTAGGAGGTAGAAAGTATATTGAGGGAGATGACTAGGTTGAGCCCAAGGAAAGGGTCAAATATGTCATCTATCTTGAGTCCTTTCGCACCCATAAGAGATCTAAGTCCAGCCCACCTTGAATTCCATTGATTCTTATCTCCACCAATTTGCTTTGACAGTAGTTCAGATTTGGCATACAATAAACCTATATATTTATTTGAACTATCTGGACTCCTGATTTCCTGCACTTGACATACATTTTTTAAAACTAAGAAAGAAGTGGTATAACAAATTCACATGTATCTAATAGCCTCCTTGTTAAGACCCTTATGTAATCAACACTTTTGATTGATTATGTGCCATCAAAAAATCAACTATTATAATACTTCAAAATGATAATTTTGAGTAATGGAAATTTTTTATCATTTTCACAATCTACATGTAATAAAGGTTTGTGTCTGCGAATTACTGCCTTGTAAAAACAAAACTATCAGAATTCGGTGAAAAACAAGGTTCTGATGGGAGGATTTTTCCTTTAATGACTCAAATTCATATGCAAATAGTGTGGCAGAAAAACAGAATATGAAATGGAATTCAGGAATGAATGAATATTTCATTAAAATTATTACTGAAACAGACAAATATAGAATGAGCCCAAAGGACTGAAACTTTCTGTCTTAAAGAGCTTCAGTGATTTCAATTAACTGTTTTTCTTTATGAGTTTTCAGTATGTTTTTGCACAAATGAAATTTGGAGCCGCTAGTATTTCCATATGGTGAACCTGAAACACAAATGTTTCAGTTCAAATTACTACTGGTGAGTTTTAATTCAGTGTATGCTCACATCCTGTTTATCCCCAAGTGAAAATCTGAAGTGTCTAGTTCACATATGTCCCTGAGACACATGAGTGGCCATTGATAAGTGAGAACAAGCCATGCCTATCTGTAGAGACTGAACTTGAAGTATCTGAAAACTACTAAAAATAAAGATTGTTCCACTTGCTTGCTGAGGTTTGTTGCCAGTGCTGCCCAGCAGGAAACATGCAATGCTGGTGTGATGAATGTCCCAGTCAGGTTGACAATTTATTGCTGAGCAGTTCATAAACATTAAAATGCCAGTGCAAAGTTAGTTCCAGCAAGTTTGTATGGGAGGATCGGTACAGGAAAAGGGCCTCATAAAGTGATTCTGTACCAAGAATGTACCAAGAATATTCTTTCTTAATCTTAAGTGGTGTTATGAGCAGCACATGCTATTTACTACTACAGCTTTTTGGCTAGAAGTTTTCCATGCAATCATTTCATATCTGTCATCATATGTTGAATGATATAATCCATTCCTCCTCCTCCTCCTCCTCCTCCTCCTCCTCCTCCTCCTCCTCCTCCTTTCCACTGCTTAAAAGAACCAGTTGGAATTGCTTTCTGCCTATCTTCCTAATATGCTAGTTAGGACACCAGGCTGAGAAAAAGTTGATCCAAGGCTTAGTCTCACAGCTGGTGCTTCTATATAAAGAGCTATCATGGAACCATTTTTTCCATTTAACAGGATGCTAAATGGAAGCCCAACAAAGTATTGTCACTATATAGTGCTTTGTATTAATATAGTAGGGTCACAGCTTGCTACTTTCATTTATTCCTATTCTAAGAAATGGTCCAAGGAAGCTGAAGAATGGCTGGATGTTGCTGCTGTGGCTTACAATAGTAATGTAGCTGTTTTTCTGCTACTTCTAATGTTATTCTTAGTGTTGAATGATTGATTCTATTAGCAGTACCTGCCTGTAGAGAAGCAGGTTTCAGGTTAAGGGGCTACTGAATCACCAGCATGCTGTTTGGTGGCTTTTGAAATTCTGTTCAATTATCACAATGAGATCCGTCGGGCTTCTCTATGGTAATCTTCCTATTGTTTTACTTTGTTGACAGTGGAAGGACTGAAAATAGTGGAAATTGAAAAGTGTAAGAGTGACATAAAAAAGATGAGGGACGAAATGGCTGCAAGGAATACCAGGTAAGCTTTGTGTTTTGCTGCTTGTGAAGAAAGGCACTTCTGAATGGCCACTTCTGCATTGGCAAAATTTATTTAGAAGCCAATGTACAGATTCCCAGGATAGAGTGTGATGGTCAGTTTAGTCTCGGACATGGAGAGCCAGGGTTAAGTCTCCATTCAGCTATGGAAATCCCAAGGTAAGCTTGGCCATTCACTGTATATAAATACAGTAAATAAATCAGTATTAAATTAATGCTGCCTAGAGCTCGGGAAGAATGGTGGGATATAAATCTAATGAATCAGTAAAAATGGGTAAAATCCAACATGTTTTTTAAATTTATTTAAGTAAATTATATGGCTACCCATTATTCAGTGGTGACTCTGGGCAGCATGCAAAATTAAAGTCAAGAGTGGGGCTTACTTCCGGGTCAATGTGCATAGGTCTGCCATCTAATAAACCAAATAAGATCTCATTTTCAATGGTCATTATTCACAAATTATGAAGCTTCTTTGTGTTTTTTAAATCGGCATGGATAAAAAGTCAAGATTCATTAGTTTTTTTAAGAACATATGGCCACCTAATAGTTAAAGAGTAACTGGAAAAATAACTCTTGGAAAGATTAACATCTTGGTTTCCCTCCATTAAGCCATCCGGTAATAAAGACTTCTGCCCTTGGTTTTATGCAGAGAACAAAAAATTCTTTTGCCAAGAAAAACATTAGTTTGGTAACAGACTCGCTTACAAGAAGTAGACCTGCTCCGATACAAAATGTAATCTGAGAAAACATCACAATATATGCACAGCAACTCCTCTTGCACTGTGAGAGAATGTGCATGTTATATTTTAACTCCCCAAATGAGTTATTTCCTTTTTGCGGAAGAAGCCAGTCAACTAATCTGATGTATTAGGAGGTTTGGAATTGTAATTAAAACAACAGCAGAAGCAACCATTGCTTGGGATGGCAGACTTGATGAATTTAAAAACATCAGGCTCTTCTATAGCCATCATTCCTCATACAACAAGTACATGAACAGCTAAACAGACATTTAAAACTGTTGTGGAAGGAGATGAATAGGGAATTATTCTGAATCTTAGTCAAGAAATTGTTTTGTACCTGCATCTCAAATGCAGACTGATTTATCTATCATGACCTGGGGCACGTGGGAGGAGAAGTGAAGGAAATATTAAATTACACTATTGTCAATTGTGGAAAAATATGTCAAGAGGTGAGACTGTACTACATTTAACTGTTCTTCCATTAGTATTTGTGCTTCTTTTTACAGAATTTTACAATTCAGTAAAGACAATATTTGTAGAGTTCTTCTGAACAAAACCTTTTAAGGGTTTCCTCTTTGTTACCCCCCAAACCTTTTCTTTCTACTTGCATCACTTCACTGCCATTTGTCTTATTGGAAAATGTATATACTCTAAGAATGCAGTTAAACCTTAATATCTTTAACAAAACTTAAACCACTCAGCTAGGACACAGTTCTAAATCTACTGGCTACTTCACAATAGTATTTCAAGGTTTCTTTCCATGCATTTTCTTTGAATTACATTTAATTTTTCAGCACATGTAGGAATATATTTCTTAGGTCATAAAAAATAGCAAGTATTCAAACCCATAGAGCCCCTGTTTGCTAACCCTTTTAATACTCTGTCTTTGCTCTCTCCTTCTTGTTCATTGCTGGGATACATGATAGCGTACCTTTTCTGGTTTTACATTGTCCATGAAACTCCACTTTGACAACACTCATAACTTCCAGCTTGCAAAAAAGACTTTTCTGATCACTGTTATGTTCATTGTTGTTTCTTCCTTCCACTGTAATACATCAGCTACATTTTCCCTCTGTCTTGCACACACACTTCATTCCTGAAAAGACTGCACTTCGATGCAACTTCAAAAGCTGTATTATATAGCAGTGGCCCTCAACCTTTTGGGCACCAGTTCCATGGAGAGACGTTTTTCCACGAACTGGAGGGGTTGCGGTTGTACGTGCTGACTGCATCCCGCGGTTGGGACTTTGCTTGTTTGCACGGTCCAGTTGCTGGCATGCCACAGACTAGCACCAGTCCACAGTTGGGGATCCCTGTTATGTTCAGTAGCATCCACAGCCATCTCAGTTTAAACACATAGCTTTTGTATTAGCATCTGAGCCTGGTTCTTCAGACCAAACTTAGATCATTGCTATGAATCATTCATATTCATTTCATAAAATGATCAATTCTGGGTGCATATAGACATGCATACGCTCTTTGTCCTGAAAAGGGATATTATAGAGTTTCATGCTTCTGCAGCAGCATGACTTGGTACTTTGCTGCAGTGATATTTACCATTTGGGATAACCAATATTATGTAATGCACCAATGAGGAGTAAAAAAAATAATAAGCAAAAGAATTTGAAGGCACTAAAAAGGAAACAGGAAAGGAAGCATAAGGTAACTAAAAATAGCATACTGTATGTCATTACCATCCACTATATGTCTCCATACTATTTTATCCTTGCAAAACCATCCTTGCTTCTCCCATCACTACATCACAATTATACTTTGCAGTTTGTGCTTTTAGCTTTTTACAACTTTTTAAAATTTTAATCAACTCAATCAAACCAAAATTTCTTCTTCTTCCCCTTCCACTTGGTCCATTCAGTCTTCATTCATATATATTTGTTTTGCAATTCCATCCTCATTTATTCACCTCAAAATATACTACTTTTGCACTGGCCACATTTGTTAACATACATTCATTCCTGACAATCTTATTGTTTTACCTCCTGTTTATTAAGTACAGCTATCTTTCACTGCATTCATCTTTTTATCATTTTTCCTGAGATATCAACACACATCTACAAATAACAAAATGGGCACAAGCATGCTGTTGTACACAACTATGTTTAGGTCTTTTCAGAAGCATTTCTTCCAAGCATTTTCTGCCAGCATTTGCATATATTAAAATTCCTCCATCCATTTTCCCATCTTCAATATTTTATCAAAATACAAAAATCCATCTCCTTTCTCTTGATTTTTACTATTTATGTATAAATTTTATTTTCTATTTGCTCTGTTAAACATAGTTACGGCGATTTCTGATGCAATTATTTTAAGATCTATACTTCTTGTTGCATTGTGCAATCTATATAACATTTGCTGTAAAATCTTTTGTGTTGTCAATCATCAGTAAAGCACCATCTGCTTACAAAAGCATAAATACATTCACATCTCTAATACACAGACCTCTGTAGTACTTACACCCACTTTCTTTATATGCTTATCCCTAAATCTATTTAAGAACCAAAAAACATCGCATCTCATTGTTTTACTTCATACACAATGCTGGACCATTTACTAATCTTTCTATTTATTCTTATGCACAGTTTTCAACTCCATGTTTGTTTATTTATTTATTTATTGAATTTATATATGCTGTCCCTCTCAGTATGTCAAGTGATTCTGGGTGGTTTAAAGTAGTATAAAAACATAGACCTAAAAATATTAAAAGCATGAAAATTAATATTAACAACTAAACAAATAAAAGATTAAAACCAAGAGCATGGATGGTTACAAGGGTTGACATTTGATTCTCACTCAACCTCCTCCAATGCTTATGCAAAACATTCTATAATGTAGGCCTGTTTACTATGGTATAATTCTTCAGAATCAATAAATATACAATAAATTTCCTTTCCCATATTTATACATTTCTCAGTGATCTGATGAAGAGCAAAATAATCAATAAGTGTACAACAGACCTACAGGTCTTCCAACTGTAGGAAATATGCTACTTCTGTAGTGAGTTGCATTCCATCGGTGAGTCGCTATAAAGTCCTCCAAACCCACCTCTCCCTGCTTTGTCAGCCCTTTTGAAGTTCCCCAGCCCAGGGAGATTTCACTTCCAGTGTGCTTCCTTCCTGGATTTATGGGCAGTGTGTCCTTTTCTAATTAAACAGACTACTTGCCATGCCCTTGTCTCCCAATTCCCTTTGACTCAGAAAAGGATTTACTGAGATAATACACTGCTGAAATCAATCAGGATTGTGCCATACTGTACAAAAATAGGGAATAAATGGGCTCCCCTTCTTTTTTCCCCTCTTTTGATGAAAGAGAAGGAGATGTTTGTTTCTTCACAGTGCAGAGGAAACTTCATGGCAAATGGGAAGCCAGTGGGAAGTAGAAAAGAGCAGGCTCTTATTGGCAGTATTCTCAATATTTAGCTATGGAAAAGAATTAGTCCTTTCAACAGTGCCTCACTGCCATATCCATTCATACAGAGTCTCTCTCTCTCTCTCTCTCTCTCTCTCTCTCTCTCTCTCTCTCTCTGGAATCCCAGTGAGTCAGAATGCATCTCTCTCTCTCTCTCTCTCTCTGTCTCTGTCTCTCTCTCTCTCTCTCTCTCTCTCTCATCCCAGTGAGTCAGAATGCAAACTCCATTGCAGACAATGGGACATGATTGAGATGCAAATGGCTGTGTAATCAGCTACCAAGGAATACAAATTGACCTGAGGATTAAAGGAGGTTAGTTTGCAAATGAAATAGATTGTCCTGTGGTAAAATCCTCCATATCAGCTACTGCACATTTAAACAGAGAGATAAAAGAAGTTCCTATTTATCAAGCAAATTTAACAACCATCCAAAGACGTGCACAGCATTACTTAATTTCTGTTGCTGTTTGTGGTATACTTTTTTCCTCATAGCAGCATGAGAGGCAGAGTACAAGGAAGAAACCGAATATGCCCTTTTCTTACTAGCTTTGCAAGTGTTTTTATTATACTACTTACTATTCTTTATATTTAGACTTATTTAGATATTGAGTTTATTCACCTTTTGAATAAAATCAGGATTTCTATCTGTCTGTCTGTCTTTCATCTGATTTCTATCTGGCCTTTCATTCTGGAGCTCAATGCAGTATAAACAGTATTCCCTCATAGAGTTTTTTCCACAATAATTCTGTAAGCGATATTGGCAGCTGAGATTGACCCAAAGTCGCCTAATGAGTTTCTGCAGCTAAGGGTGGATTGAATTCAGGTATCTTACTCCTAGTTTAGCAACTCAATCATTATGCCACTGTACTGTAATAAGAAATAGAAAAATGGAACTAGGTTTTATTTTACACCATGGCTGAATGTGATTCATGGCATATATGTTACATCAAACTGAAGTATTTTGCCACAGGAAAAAAGGCAAGATGGAACCCAAATAAAAACCAATTTAAATCTTCCTTCTGTTTTACAACGGGACAATGTTCTCATCCATCTTTGAGAAGGGTAGCTTAAGAAAATTGGGAAGGGCATAACACAACTTTATCTTCAAGATGCTTATTCCTACTTTCTGTTTCTATTTTGGTAGATTCAGTCTTGTGTGAATAGTTTACCTATTTAGTAGGAAAGGTTCTGTAAGATTGCAGTTGTTCCTTTTTCATGAATTAAAAAACTGGTACATAGTTCTAATCAAGAGCCATCACTTTGTATACATCCTTCAGTATTATATTTCTGATACTGACATTGTGTGAGAAAAGATTTCCACATCTTGAAAAGTATGAATTGGATTTCAACTCACATAGTTAATATTTACAGGTGTTGGATAGTATAAAGTATGCCCCACATAGGAAATAAATGTTTTAGCATAATAATCCTAAATACATCTAAGTAGGGAATAAGGATTGTTGAATGTAACCTGCATGTTTAGAAGTTTTCTTCAAATAAATAAAGGTTCCTGCACCTGCAGCATATCTTTTGGGGTTGTTTTTTTCCTAAAAAAGACTTAAAATGCACTTTCATGTTTGGCAAACACATCTTCAAATGCTACATTTCTTTACAAATCTCTTGGGATATTCAGAGGAAAGCAGTTTGGTTTGTTTGCTGTGAAAAGGGGGAAATTAATTTTCCAGGAGTTAACCTTTAGAGCCAATAACATTTTGATTGTGTCCTATGAGTTTAAATGAAAAGTTTAAAAGTTTTCTTTAGATACTGAGTGTTGGATTTTGTTTTCTACACAGGACCAACTGCCCTTGTAAATACAGTTTCCTGGATGAAAACAAAAAGCTGATACCCCGAAGGGATGTCCCCTCCTATCCTAAGGTATAATGTCATGTAGATACATTCAGAATATCTTTAGACAGAGCTGATCATCACAATAACTAAAATTATTCTTGGCATCTTTTGCTTTCTGTCAAATAATGCCGAGGAGGATATTATATGCAGGAAGGGAGATTTAGGATCATTATGTTTAAAATCTCTCCCCCAAACCAGTCTTCTTACAAATCACTACAATAAACATCATCTTGGAAAGAGTTGACAGATGTGAATTCATATGTAATAGCTCATAATATTCTTTGCCTTAAGATTTCTTTAAAAACAGTAGATGGGGGGGTGACTCAGTGAATGTGGGGCTCCTGAACCCCGTGCTTTTGGCTCCATTGGTCATCATGCTGCTAAAATTTGGTGTCAAACTGTTCATATTCCTATTTCATGTTTCAGATACAAAATACATACCAATTGTGGGCCCAAAACTTGTTCAAACTGAAAAAAAGGGAAGTAAGGCAAACCTTTTCCACAGTACAGCCTCACATTATTGTCCATGGCCCCTATAGCCCTCAACTATGTTTTTTTAATAGCTGAAAATATGGTCATTGGCCATATTTGCTATCATCAACATACTTCTGGAATATCAAATGTATAATCAATATTGATTCATTTTCCTTGAAAATCTTACTTGTTATAATCTCTGTAGAGGGTCCCAGGATGCGATTTATGAATTATTTTAACATTCTTTTAAATATTCCCATTAATTGTTAGTTTTAGGAATTGGATGCTCTGATAAGTGCTAACGTTACCACACTTGCTTTTTCTCCACTGTATGACTAAGGGCCTTTCACCAGTGCTGAGCCCATCCATTCTTGGTTCAGCAGAAATCTTTACCAGAGTGAAAAAATAAGTGTCCCATTGCTGATCTTTTCCTGCCACTGTTTCAAGCCACTGCAGTCGTCTAACTCTCCTCTAGAGTAATTAATGATGAGCTTAACAGGCTTTATGCACCTTGAAGCAGCATTTGGTTAATATCACAATTGGATGGAAACACTACTTTGACATATGTGTAGCTTAATGCTGTCTCACTAGGGATCAGATAAAGATAACATCTCAACACAGCAGAAAAAAATAGGCTGCCGGGACATGTTCCTGTTATAGATAGTTGCAAGTGGAAAAAGACCCATACTCTTAGTGTTTGGGTAGATGGATGGATGGATGGATGGATGTTTTGCAAAGATACCTGATGTTTGAGAACAAGCATTTAGCTTAAAGAAAAATTAAAGCTGACTCATCTGATTTACTGATTTAAAGATAACATATATTCATAATAAAGGTTTGTTTTTATCTACAGTACATGCTTTCTCAGGAGACAATAGGAGCTCTTAGAAAACCAACGTTTGATGTCTGGTTGTGGGAACCCAATGAGGTAATGCAGCACTTTGGAAACAAATCCCTGACCTCTCATCTTCTAAGGTTATTTTGTGGCTTTGTTTGTGATTGCTTGAGGACTGGGACCTTTATCTTAGTGTCATCCAGGAACTGCTCTGAAAATATACAAACAGAGTTCAGTGTCCAAAAGGATTGATTCTATATATAGAGGTAGAGTGGAAAAACAAAAGAAATTTTAGCAAAGCAGTTATAATTACAGGATTTCACAAGAGTAGAAGAGAGCAGTAGATCATTTAGTTTAGCTTTGTCCTTGCTACAGGAAATGTAGAATTAGATCATTCCCACAGATGGCTGTTGATTTTCTCTTCAAGATCTTCACTGAGGGAGAACTTACTATCCTCTAAGTAACAGCTGCATTTGCAAGCTACTCTTACCATTAAGAAACCTCTCAACACATTCAGCTGCAATTTGTCTTCCTATATCACACCCATTCAGTCTAGGCCATGGGTCTCAAACTCGATTGTGTCACATGATATACTGTGATGCACCATGACTTTTTTGCCTTTGTGGAGCTGAGGTGGGCATGGCCTGTATGTGACACATCTGGCCTGTGGGTCGCCAGTTTGACACTCCTGTTCTAGGCCTTCCCTTGAGGACAGCAGAGAACAAGACTTTGTCCCCTTTGGAGAGATAGTTCTTCAGATTCTTAAAGAAGGCACTGCTTTCTCATTCAATCTTACTACATTTAGGCATGTGCTTTTTCCTTTAACATCTTCTTGCAGTATCATTTTAAAACAATTCTAAAATATGTAGACCACCTTTACCCATCTTTTATATTAAAAAGCACCTTAAAGTGTTTTATAATTAATAAATCACTGCATTAGAAATTGAAAAGCATTAAAGCAAAGCTTTTTAACCAGATTAAAATCTCAATATTCAAATAAACTAGAGATGTAGGGATCAGTTTAAATTTGAGTTGCATCAGTTATTGACATATCACTTGTTTGATTAAATTTTCTCTTTAATTGTTGGAGGTTGTGCTTTATTTAAGTAATTTCCTCCAATATATACATTTATGCAAAAATTATTTTGTACCAAAAGTTTAAAAAAAAAAATCATGCTGAAGGACTGCATCATTCCAAAATGTGAAGTGTTCTGTTTTACATTTTCAATAGAGGATGAGGGATGTTAATGGAAAAATTCATTATGTCCTATCTCTGCTGTAATTGCTACCAACTTATGTAATGATATAATTTTAATTTTAAGGAAATATGTAGCAGATTTCTATTTTGTTCTTTGATTTAGCTAAAGTTAAATTTAAAATGCACCCCCAAAAGGAATACTGTATGCTAACATGGCTTTAAAAAAAAAAAAAAACACCTATTGAAGTTCCCTAGAAAAAGCATTTCAAAAGTAGGGTTTGCATGTCATGATAAAGCATAAGGTTTATTTTTAATTTAATCCAAATGTTATTAGGGTCAGTGAAAACATATGATTTATTTTAGAGCAATAAAGCTTATTTTGAAACCACATTTTTGTTGGGTTAATTGTTGGCATTCAGGGTTAAACAGTGACATGACAATATGGATAGATAATGTATTTATGGTTTCTTAGTTTATGTCCAGTTTATACTCCAACCTACCCTTTAATCAATTTATTGAGAAGCAAAGCAAGTCAACAGAAAATTTAGGGGAAACAAATCAAGGGACTGGTTGAACAAGTCACCTGTAAGACTTATTCTACTTGTTTCAGGCTTCTTTACTAAACTATGGTTAAAGCTGATGATGGTTTAGCCTGGTGCATAAACACATATGAAGCCAAGGCATCACCACAAAGTATCCTTCATGCCTTTATCTTGCACCTCTCTTCCAAAAGCTGCCCAAAGAAACGCTCCTTATCTATGATCTTAATGCACAGCCAAGTTGACATGGGAGGAGATATTCTGAAAGAATTTGAATCCCAGTTCACTTAGTGGAATATTGTAAATGCCAAAGTAATCGTATTACTAATACTTAGAGGAAAGAAATGTTCAGGTTTAAAATGCTGAATGTTCAGCACTCACCACTGAAAAACAGAAATTTATATCCTATGACTGTCATCTTAAATAACTTTTTCCTTGAGTGTGCTGTTAAACAGATGGTTCATTTTCCTGCTCTAAAAATGAAAACTGTTATTTTTCTTCTGGGATTTTTCTCTTATTAAACTGTAAAGCAGGAGTGTCTAACCTTGGCAACTTGAAGAACTGTGGACTTCAACCCCCAGAATTCCTTAGCCAGACATGTTGACTGGGGGATTTTGGGAGTTGAAGTTCACAAATCTTAAAGTTGCCAAGATTGGCCTCCCCTAATCTAAAGCTTGATTTGAAGGGTTTGAAAAACTGGAATCGATTCATTGCTGAAGGAAAGGACTTTTGTTGTTTTTAAAAATATTAGATTGTTTTATTTAATATGGGCAGAGAATGAGTTAGAAATTTAGAGTCCTGAGAATTGGCCCTCTGCCATAGAAAAGGGATACTGAATCATATTGTTGATTTGAACAGAAGTAAACATCCTCTGTAATTCTGGGGATTTCTTCCTTATTTGTTAAAAATAAAAAAGCATTACCGTATATGCCGGCGTATTAGGCGACCCGGCGTATAAGACGACCCCCGAGTTCGACGCCGGGTCGCAAGACGATCGACGCCGAGTCGCATATAAGACGACTTTCTAGGCATGCGACTCGGCGTCGATCATCTTATACGCCGGAAATGACGTCATTTCCGGCGTATAAGATGACTTTCTAGGCATGCGACTCGGTGTCGATCATCTTATACGCCGGAAATAACGTCATTTCCGGCGTATAAGATGATCGACACCGAGTCGCATGCCTAGAAAGTCATCTTATACGCCGGAAATAAACGTAGTTTATAACGTTATTTCCGGCGTATAAGATGACTTTCTAGGCATGCGACTCGGTGTCGATCATCTTATACGCCGGAAATGACGTCATTTCCGGCGTATAAGATGATCGACACCGAGTCGCATGCCTAGAACGTCATCTTATACGCCGGAAATAATAAATAAATAAATAAACATTATGACTCGGCGTATAAGACGACCCCCGAGTTCGGAGGCTGTTTCATCGCTCTCAAAAGTCGTCTTATACGCCGGAATATACGGTATATAAAATTTAGAACAATGTATTACATTGTATTAATATATCATTCAGTTATCAACCAGGCTCCCATGACTTGTACGTTCAATGAGTTTTGGGAATTAAAAAATGAAATTTGTTATTTCCTAGCTGCATTTAATAGACTATATGCAACTTATTTCTAATACACAAAGAAAATACAGTATAAAAATATATACTTTTTAAACTTTTCCTCCAGATGCTGAGTTGTTTAGAACATATGTATCTTGATTTAGAATTGGTGAAAGACTTTAACATCAACCCTATCACATTGAAACGGTGGCTGGTAAGTTGCCAATGGATTTTAAACAATTTAAAATATTTATAACTTTAAAAGTTTGTAAGTATGCAAATATATATATTCTCAGTGTAGACTCTAGTATTTGAAATTAAGACAAAAGTTAGCTGAATACAAAATAACCATTGAAAAATTAAAGGCCCAAAGTGCATATTTCATTCTCTTTTTCAAATTATATATATATATATATATATATATATATATATATATATATATATATATATGAACCCTGGGAATATTCATGTTTAAAATAAGGTGAGCACCAGGGTGATAAAACCATAAAAGTTTAATTTAATTTAAAAACGCCAAGCTTTCGCCGTCACCTGCCAGCATCCTCAGGGCTTAAAGCGCCAGGGAGTGAGAGAGTCTCTTATAAGCAAGCCAAAGTCTGCGCCCGGCTCCTCGATCTCGTCATCGGACTTAATTGGTTGGATTGTGCTCCGGTGACTCGTTTCTTCCTGCACCCCTTTTTACGTGTGTCCTCATTTGCCTTCTTTTCTTTGAGCTCTAAAGTAGGTGGAGCAACCTCCTTGTCTCTCTGATTGTCTCTGTTCTCTCCCTCGGGTTTATCTAGTGGTTTGCATTTCTCCTTCTCCTTCTCCCAATCCACATTTGCACAACTATTCTCTCTCTGAGTGTTTTCCCTTTCATCCCTAGTACCTCCCCCTTGTGCCCAACCGCTGTCAAGATGGTCACATGTATCACTCTGGGTTAACTGGGGTGTGGTAGTAAGCTGGGATGATTCAGTAGGTTTTTGTCTATGCAGCCAGTCCCATAGATGCGGCCAAACCCAGTTAACATGCCCTCCCCCTCTTTCTTTCGTCTCCTGCGCTCTTTTTCCCCGCGTTATAACCAGAGGGCTCGGTCTGGGGGGAGGTGGGGTTACGATCCTTCCGAACGTCCCAGCATTCCTCTTCCATCCTCGCTCCGTTGCTTCTCATTCTTGCGTGCCTGTGACAAGGATCTTTGGAGTCGATGGGTGCTGTTGATGTGAGGCACGGTAGGCTGATCCCGCAAGCTCCGCCCTCTCGCGCATTCCTCCATCCGGGTTCGCTCTTCTCTCCGCTCTCCAGGGTGTCCATTGGCTCTCAGTCGCTCCTAGAGCTATCCCACACCCCATACATCCCCAACTCGGTCGGCATTATAGAGCAGAGGGGTCGTCCCATCTTCTTCGGATCGATCGTCCTATTCCTCTCGAGCCGTAGATGAGGTGTTGGTTTTAACAATCCCCCCCATCTCTGTCTATATTGCCTTCTGCCGTATCAATTGGGAAGTCCCTGGTGTTCATAGTATGGGGATTCTGGGTTTTAGTTTTTATCGCCCTCCTGGTCTTTTGGGAGCACGTCAACATGGTGGGGGTGGTGGGGGTTCTCAGACATTGTTCTTCATCCTCTGGGTTGTCCACGATTAGTCGGGGGGTTGGCATGTTCTCCTTAGTTTTTCCACTAGGTCTGCCGTCGGGCCGTCGGTAATGGGACGGGTAACTGGCCGCACTCCATGCTCTTAATGTCAAGTGTGCAGAGCAGAGGTCAATGTGTCGATTAATGGAGTTACTATTGGAAAGCCATGCTTCTTTAAGAAGGCGGCCTCCCTTTGTGCTGTCACTTGCCAAGACGCATACCTCATTAAAATTAAAGCGGTGGCCCAATTCCGCCATATGAACCCATATCTGGGAGTGCTGCTCGCCCCTTTTCACTGCTAGTCTGTGCTCATGGACCCTAGTCTTCACTCGTTTAGAAGTCTCCCCAACGTAGTTACATGGGCAGTCCATACAATCGATCCTATATATGGCTGCTGATCTTTCCATGCTGGGGAGCGGGTCCTTGGGGCGCATAATGGCAGCCCATAGCATTTGGTTGGGTCTATGTGCTACCTTTATGTTATACGGCGCCAAAATTCTCGCAGTAGCCTCTGAGACATTGCAGATATAGGGGAGGGTGACACGTGTTGTCTGTGGCACTAGTTCACGAGGTGATGGGTTACTCCGAGATTCAGATGGTATGCTAAACCAATTAATGAATCCTACCGGGTACCCATTGCGCCTACATACTTGGAAAAGATGGTTTCTTTCCTCTTTCTTTGCTTTGGCAGTACTGCAATGTGACTCTACTCGTTTGAATAGAGTTCTGACACAGCTGACTTTATGGGCTGTCGGATGGTTACTCTCAAAATGGAGAATCCTATCCGTACAAGTTGCTTTTCGGTATACCTTGGTGGTCAAAGATCCATCCAGTTGGCGTTGGACCAATACATCTAAGAATGCCAATACGCCCTGATTTTCCTCCTCCATGGTGAACTGGATGTCCGGGTATACCAAATTCAAAATACCCATAAAGTCAGTCTTGTGCTGCTTCTTGATGACTACAAACGTGTCGTCCACATAGCGGGCCCAAAATTTTGGTTGGTACTGGGCCATCGCTATGTGTTCCAAACGTTGGAGCACCACCTCTGCTATTACACTGGAGATCGGAGACCCCATTGGTGTTCCCTTAATTTGTTCAAATATAGTGCCCTGAAAGGTGAAGTAGGTCTTTAAGCAGACTCCCACCAGTTTAATAAGGTCCTCCGTCCGAAGGGAGTCCTGATGTTGTCCCTGGTCTCCTTGGTTCAACTGGTCTTTAAGGACCGTGACCACAAGGTCCTGCGGATGGAAGTGAATAGGGAGACCACATCAAAGGAGACCATGAGTTCGTCTTACTCCACCCTCAGGGCTCTAATTCTATCCAGAAATTCGTCTGCCGATCTCACAGTGGTGTTATTATTACTGGCCAAGTGGCAGATACGTATGCTCAGCCACTTGGCCAATTCCGAGGTAGGGGTGCCCCTGAATGCGACAATAGGGCGGAGGGGGACGCTGGGTTTGTGTATCTTGGGCAGCCCATAGAACCTGGCAAGAGCTGAGTCGCCAGGGCGTACCTTTCTCAGCACATCCTCCCCCATCCTCCTATTCCGTTTTAAGTCATCAAGAAGCTTGTTGAGGATGCCGGCAGGTGACGGCGAAAGCTTGGCGTTTTTAAATTAAATTAAACTTTTATGGTTTTATCACCCTGGTGCTCACCTTATTTTAAACATGAATATTCCCAGGGTTCATATTTTTAGGGTTATTAACCATGTAAACTTTTGTCTTGTTTTATTTTCAGCCCTTAATGGTATTCTGGTATTCTATTTCTTATTCCTTTTCTATACTATATAATGTTGCTTAACCCAAAATGGAGTAGTAGAATGGGATTATATATACACTGTATATCCAGGACAATTTGGTGACTCAAAATGTTTATTATAATCACATCATCTGTACATGGTGATTGACATTTTTCAGGATAACTCTGCATGTCAGCCCCTCCCTGAATCGGGAGGTTTATATTTTCCCCTTTGCACATCACTGCGTTTACTTTACAAAATAGGGATACACATGCCAATGTTTCCACTATTTTTATCTGGCCAATTCTGTGAAGAATTGTGAAGCAATTCTCTGACTTATACCAGAGATTAGCCAACTGTTATTCAGTAGAAATGGAATATGATCCAAAGAATGAGCGGAAACAAGCCTGTATGTAGTAATAATGCAAACAAAATACATTTGGGTTTATCTTTTTTTTAAGTACAGATAGAATAGCAATAATATTGTAATATTCTAGAATCTAAAAGGAGAGAATAATGGCCCCAAAGAGTTGTTTATTGGGATTTAGTGCCACATTCTTGTTTTCTTTATCAGTTTTTCCTCTTTATTTTTTATAGCTATGTATTCATGACAATTACAGAAACAATCCATTCCATAATTTTCGACATTGCTTCTGTGTTACCCAGATGATGTACAGCATGATCTCACTCTGCAACCTCCAGGTGTGTCTTTCACTGGCCACTTTTATTATCTCTTCAGTTCTCCTATTAAAAGAATACGGACTTCAGGAAACATCATTAAATCCCTGGCTTTTTTTAATGCTTTTTTCCCTATAACTACAGTGTTTTGTTAACTTAATATTGAAAGACCTAATGCATCTCTTTCCACATCCCTGGGACTTTGCTGAGAATAACTGTAATTTTTTATACATTTAAGTGAAGAATTGAAAGGTCTAGTGAAAAGATGGTTAATAATCCTGGCAGTCTCCAAGAAACATAAAAAACTACCTTACATTGCATCAGATCATTGGTCCATCTCTAGCCCAATATTGTTAACACTGGTTGGCAGCCAGAGTTCAAACAGGAGGCCTATCTGGAGACTGCAGGTGCCAGCAATTCACCTTCAGATCTCCAGCCTGCAAAGCATGTTCCTTACTCTGATGCATAAATCAGTAATAGCTCAAGATGCTGGTGCCTCCTATGAAATATAAACTAATTAGATGAAACCTTTGTCCTATTTTTTAAATTTAAAAAACAAGCATGAAATTCAAATTTAAGAGGAGTTAAGCCTCCTTATATAAGCCTCCTTAAAAAATGAAAATGCTATACATTTAATGTTTCTTTGACTTGGCTTCCTCTTTCATCCAAACTGCTTGAACTAATTCTTGTGCCATTCTCTTGCACCATTTCCAACACAGGGCCCTCCAGGTGTGTTAGGTTACAACATCCAGAATTCCTAATTTACTAACACCCATTATTCAATGTACTCCGATTGTGACTCAAAATTGTCAGGCCAAAAGGGAATTTTGCCTTACAAAGCAGGTAGGAAGAGAGAGGTGCTGCTTTATACAGCCTGATTCAGCCCTGGCCATTCTAGCTAGGGATAGATTTTTCTAATTCATCTCCATTGCACACTATCTTAAGGATTTGCCCCTTGAGTCCAACATTTCTGTTGCTAAAATGAAACATTTGTTAAGTGAATTTTGTCCCATTTTACGACCTTTCTTGCCACATTTAAGTCAATGACTGCTGTTGTTAAATTAGTAACACGATTCTTAAGTGAATCTGGCTTCCTCATTGACTTTGCTTGTCAGAAGGTCGCAAAAGGTGATCACATGACCCCGGGACACGGCAACTGTCATAAATATGAGTCACTTGCCAAGCATCTAAATTTTGTTCACATGACTATGGGGATGCCGCAATGGTCATAAGTGTGAAAAATGGTCATAAGTCACTTTTTTCAGTGCTGTTGTAAACTTGAAATGGTCACTAAATGAGCTGTTTTAAATTGAGGACTACCTGTATTAAGAATGTTACCCCAAATATGTAGAACTCAAATTTTGATACAGAAGTTACCATGTCCATTATATTTGTGGGTATAAATTTGCAGCTTGAGTGGCCAATACAAGAACAATTGTATTATCAGACTTTTGTCAGACAGTTGCTGTATTTCATCCATGGAATTTGAAAAATTGGTCTATATGTTTTTTTCCCCCAGTTACAATGCTTCCATGTTTTCCCAATGCTTTTTCTCTCCATCCTCCCCCCACCCCGAAAAAAAAAGTTTAAAAAGAAAGAAAGGCTGAACAGGTCTTTTGACTGGTAGGGCAAGAATAATGCAGGGCAAGATAATTATTGATATAGTATATTTGCAAAGAAGAAGAATTTCTTGTAACCCCAAGTTATTTTCTCAAGCAAGTAGCAGAAAATCAAAAAATATTCCTCTATTACTATTTCTCTTTGGTACTGAAATAAAATATGAAGTACTAAAATAAGTATCTTTTTTGACTAATATAAATCCTGGCACAACATATTGCAAGCTGAGCAACCTTTGCATTTAAATAAAATTTATCCACGGTTAAGCAGATCCAACATTTCCGCTTCGTCCTGTTGTTAATTATACATCACTGCCAGACTTGGATGATTTGCTAGACTGTCCTGCCAGAAAAAGGAAGGCTCCTTAAACTTGCTACAGTAAATGTAGCCATTAAGTGTTGACTTAACCTTGTTTTATGTTATTTTTCTGATACTTAAATGTCCTTCTGATGTTGTGAAAGCTGTATGAAATTATAAGACTGCATTTTCTCGCTTTTCTCTTTTAGGCAAAGATTTCTCAAATGGACATCTTAATGCTAATGACAGCATCAGTGTGTCATGATCTGGATCACCCAGGATATAATAACACGTATGTATTTTTTGGGAAGAGAGTTAAAGGCATATAGCAACTGCTTAGAGAAATAGAACACAATTGAAACTTCATGATAAACATGGGTCTATGACAATTCATCACATGGCCAGTTCATCCCAGCCAGCTCGCCACAGCCAACTTACCATGTGACAACTCACTGCAGGATAAGAGTTATACTGATATCAAAGAAATGGTGGAATAGAATCATTAAAGAAAGGATAAAAAAGGAGGGACAGAATGAAATGTGAATGACAACATTTAAAATATTTTTTATTTATTTTAAATTGTTAAATTGAATTGTTAAATTGTCCCGCAGCAAGTTGTCCCGTGGTGAGTTGGCCGTGGCGAGTTGGTTATGGAGAGCTGGCCGCAGCGAGTTGGCTATGCAATCTTATGCAACATCCTTTTGCAGGAATTCCACCGTAAGATCTTCCACCTAATTCCTGAGGATGTTGGCCCAAGACATTAGTGGAATAGAAAATGCACTGCCTAAATTGATATATATAATGCTAAAGGCTGTAGGTATTATTTTGGCACTGGGGGGGAAGAAAAATCAAAAAAGCCTTTCCCCCTGCTTTGCAAAAAATATAGTGATAATAAATTAAACTATGCTCCTTCGTTATCTTCCTATAGTACACGGTGCCTAAGACACTTCATTCTGCTGCCTGGTAAATATACACAGGATATTAATTTCAGGCTATTTACATTAGCAGGATATAATAATCTGCTAGAGTGTAAGGTTTAAGCAAATTAGAGTAGCCACTAATACATCGCTAAAAGAGGAAGTTAATCAAACCACAAATAAGATCACTTGGCCAAATGAGGATTTTTTTTTTTTAATATGTGTACATCTTTATTAAATCTGGGAAAAATAAATGGGATCTTCTTTGACCCTTGGCTTTAAATATGTTTTTTAAAGCTGTGTGGTAAAGTATTTATAGAAGTAAGTTTCACTCTATATGTACGGGTAAGAAATGTATTTTAGGAAACAATCTTGAGGAAGGAAGTAACATCTTATAATTGGTTTGCATTAGAAGCATTGGAACAAACAGAGTACAATGACTGTATCTTCAGGCACGCATCTTTACAGAATTATAAAGATTAGTAACAAAAATGTTAACATAGTTGCAGTTTTGTAAATAAATAGCATTGAAATGGGTGATTGAATTGTAAAAAAAAAAAAATGAAGGAGCATTGTAAAAACGAAACAGAGCACATCCCATTATAGCTTCCAAATTAGCTATATATTTAATGGATGAGGATATTGAAAGTGTACTGAAAACATTTTGCCTCCCAAGAAGAACAGCAGCAGAATTAAATTGGGAAAAGTGAAGAGGTGGCATTTGGATAAGAGGCAGCAACCTGAGCTTAAAGGGAAATTGTATCAGAAGGTGAACATTAATGAATGGCGAGAACCACATTTCTATTTCCGTATATGACTCCATGAATCCTTCTGAGAAACATTGATTCCTAGGACACATGTTGGCACTGTATATGATTTACTGACTTATGATTATGTCGTGTATCTCTTTTTTCCCCTTTAAAAAGTTTGTGAGTTTTTTTTAATAAATAAATAATTCCTATTTCAAGAGAGATCTGAAATAGATGTAACTCCAAAGCCCATTATAACTGATTGTCCACTGGATCTTTTTTCTCTTTTCATATTGGTCCTTTCCTCAGTTTATATTGTTTTAAAAGCTAACAGAAACTCAAAGGTAGAAAATTAAAAGCTTAAAATAAAAAATATGTATTGGAATAAATAAAGATATAAATAAATGCTACAGTTCAAGATCTAAGGCAGTGGTTCTCAACCTTTCTAATGCCGTGACCCCATAATACAGTTCCCCATGTTGTGGTGACCCCCAAGTGGGTGTGGCCACCAATAAGAGGGAGTAGGACAGCTAGGGAAAAGGGAAAAAATGGCGGACAGTGTGGTTTGGCGACCCCCGTGAAATGGTCATTCGACCCCAAATGGGGTCCCGACCCACAGGTTGAGAACCACTGATCTAAGGGAAAGCTAATTCCCAACATAAAAGAATAAAAGTATATGCCTACATGAACAGGCACTCAGATATACATACCGGTAGATAAAACTTGGTTACTTTTGCTGCAGATTTACCATTGCAGGATTTAGTTTAATAAATAGTTTTCTCTTTGCAGTGGTAAATCTGCAGCACATTTCTGTTTATGCCTTTGCTTTACTTCAGGTACCAGATCAATGCACGGACAGAGCTAGCTGTGCGCTACAATGATATTTCCCCACTAGAGAATCATCACTGTGCGGTGGCTTTCCAGATCCTTGCACAGCCAGAATGCAACATTTTCTCCAGTCTTGATAAGGAACAATTCAAACGGATCAGACAGGTATGGGTTCAAAGGTATGGGGTCACCTCCACATACGTTCTCTGTCACAGAGAATTGCAACTGAATTCAGCTGGTCTGTCTCAGGATTAAGGAGCCTGTACCTCTCAAAATTATGTTTAACTACAATGTGCTAAAAACTCTTATTGACCAGGCATGAACACAATATAGGGATAGCCAGAGATTCCCCAAGTGTTATCTCCATGGGTTGAAAATTTGAGAGCTTAATATCTGAGCCTATTTTATTGAAATGTCTCAAGTGCTCTCTGAAGATATCAAACAGCAGAAAGAGGATGAGATCTTTGAGCATGCCAAGAGAGATTTTGCTAAAAAGTTTTTAAAATCTAGAGCTAGAAGGTAAAACATAGCATGAAAGCCAGTTTGGTCTAGTGGTTACGGTATCTAGAAAGTGGGAGACCGTGAGTTCTAGTCCTGTCTTAGCATGAAAGCCAGCTGAGTGATTTGGGGCCAGTCATTCTATCTCAACTCAAACCACCCCCTAGGATTGCTGTTATGGGAAAAATAGGAGGAGGATAGTGTGTTGAATATGTTTGTTGCTTTGAGTTACTTGTAAAAATAATAATCAAAAGATGGTGCAGAGCCCAGTGACTAAGAGCAGGCAGGAATAAAATGAAATAAAATAATATTCTCCTAGGAATTCTTGATAGTCAGCATGTCTCATCTGAGAAATTCAATGGAAGCACCATCAGCAGTCAAACCTAATGAAATAAGTACCTCATGGACAAGCTGGTGCCTTTCAATTAGATTAGATACAACACACATCATCCTTAGTTATCATAGTAGGAATGATTCTTATTTGTAGTTTAACATAACTAGGAAATGGTTCCAGTTCAGTGAATGATATTGTAGGTATATTTGGAAAAACATTATAGCTTTTTATATTATAATGTGTTAATATATTTAACTGGTTTTATTGCAATTTTTGTTTTTTGGGAAAAGCCCTAAGGGAATGCTAAAGAAAAGGGGGTATAACATAGCATAGTGTAACATAACATAACACACATACATTTTTAAAAAATCATATTATGCTTTAAATCACAAAACAATGTAAAGAACATCTATTCTTGATGTTTTGTTAGAGCAAGTCTCAGTTCATGCAGAAGCACCAAAGCCAGATCAACCCTCCTGCTATGCAAACAAAAAGGGGGGGAAATACATGTACATGTTTCCCCCTGTATGGCTAATAGAATCTCCTACATATTTGAACTTAATATCATGATTATAGACCTGATCCAAATTTGCCTTCCATAGCTCATTACAAAAAAAAAAAAAAAAAAAGGTAATTATACTGAAAACTCCTAGCATAGAGTTTCAGCAAAATTCTGTCCTGTGTTTTTCCTCAAAATAGCTTCCTTCTTCAGAATAAGTCATGTCCCAAAAGGGGGGAAATTGAACAAGGGGCGATAATGCAGGATCCAATCTGGGTCAATCACTGGGACCAGAGTTTTAGTCTTCTGAGCTTTCAGACTCCTGCCAGAACCCATCTTCAGGGAATGTGTCCCTCTCAGAGCTCTGCTAGAGAGAGGTTCCCTGAAGATGGGCTCTTGCATGAGTCGAAAGCTCAGTGATGGACCCAGATTGGATCCTGCAACATTATCCACGTATATTTGCCTCCATTCATAAGGGCTGATAATACATGGAAAGCTAGAATAGTTCTATTTCCAGAAGCAGAAATTGTTTCTTCTTTTTTCTTAAAAAAAAACCATAGGGGATAATTACATTAATCCTAGCAACAGACATGGCACAGCATGCTGAAATACTGGATTCTTTCAAAGAAATCTTAGATGAGTTTGACTATTCAAATGAGGAACATGTAACTCAGGTAAGATGCTTTTCTTTCTGTATTTGCATTTAGCATTTATTCAGATGGAAAAGATTCCCCAACTTGGCTTAAAGATCAATAAAAAGAGACCATCTTGCTTTCCTGACTGGGCAAACTGATGGCATTCCCAGAACCAAAAACCTCAGCTTTGTGGATTCTTATCATTTGGAGATGGAAAAATACACGAGCTTTTCCATTACTTATTTATAGCATCCCTGGAATAGCTTGGCAACCACAGTTCCCATGAAGCTGATCTTGTCTCATTCAGGAAGCCAGGATTAATAATATAGCTATTTCGGAGCAATCCTACCTAAGTGTGAGGAATCTTTGGATGATTCTGAACTACAGACCTTCCCACAGCCCTGCACTGGCTGTGCCTGCTTAAGGTCCGGGAGTTATAGTAGTAGAATCTCTGATAGACCATGGAGTTCCCATTTATTGTCCATGTTCAAAATCTGAATTTCAAATTGCCATTTTGTGAAATATTGGTTTTTATTGCTTTAACGTCTACAGTGAGTTGAGGACAGGCTGCCTTGCTTGGTGAACATGTAAAAATATACTTTCACTCTTTTCAATGCCTTCCCCTCCATTTAATTGAAAAGAGTGAAAGTATATTTTTACATTTCCACCAAGCAAGGCAGCCTGTCCTCAACTCACTGTGGACGTTAAAGCAATAGAAACCAATATTCCACAAAATGGCGATTTGAAGTTGTTGTCAAAGGGCCCACCTCCTGTGATATCAGGATCAGAACAGAGAAGGATTTCTAATTTGGCTGTATGTTTTGCTTTGATCATTACAGAGAGTCCATTGTTCAAACAAATTTTATTTGCCCTGGTATTAATTTCACTGCTGACTTTCCACAACAAAGTGGAGAAAACATTGGCATATAAAATAAAGATCTCACATAAACTGCTTTGCTGTTTTCAGCTGAAGATGATACTGATCAAATGCTGTGATATCTCCAATGAAGTTCGCCCAATGGAAATAGCAGAACCATGGGTGGACTGCTTATTGGAAGAATATTTCATGCAGGTAAAAAGATACACAGTTACAGATTAATCACCATAATGATTTATATTTATAAATCCCATCTGAAGTCCATCCAATTGCAATGCTGCTGTGCTAGGACTACAGGACTGGTTGTTGTAAAGCATAATGAGAAAGTGGTAGTGGATACCAGAATAGTGGGATAGCTGCATAGGCAATCTCCATACAGGCTCCCTTTCACATAAGGATTTGCAAGCTCCAACTGTCTTTCCTGTCATACCAAAAGTTATTGTAGCTTCCCTCTAGGGTGGACAGTAGAGGTTGTGTTTTGATTATTGTTACACTAAGATTCTGCAGACAGCCTGATTGACTTCTGCACATGGATGATATGTTGGACTGACTTTGTGGATCCACTCCGTTGAAAAAAATACTTGCAGTAAGTTTTGTGTCTAACTGCAGATTGCAACAGTTTGCAACCTAGAAAGATGATAATAGCCGAATAGTGCTTGTTCTCTCTTGAGAGTGGTTTCTGCCAGTCAACTCAGCATATAAAGAATTTTCAAACTCAAGCAGATCAGATTTGAGGCAATAGAAAACACAGCTAGCTAAGGAAAACTAAGTGGGTCAGGTGATAGATGTTGAATTATATAACTAAGCCTGTAATCAGTGAAAAAATGTTAAGAGAAAGAAAGGAGAGGAAAGGAAAGTCTGGTAGTTTTTAATAGATTAGTCAAGTTAGTTCTGAAAGGTCACTTTACTAAATCTCTCTTTTGGAGGCAATTGTAGGGAGCAATAGATAAAGGAATAACAATAGATAAAGATTAGGCTATCACAGTGATGCACATCAAGTAAAACTTGTTGGTGACTGAGAACAGAAAAGAGGAAGAAGAGTTGGGTATTTTTTTATTTAACATATTTCCCTTATTGCAAAATAAGTAACTTTAACCACCAATTTCATGTCAGCGTTTATCTGTATGTCAGCCTGTTAGTCTACAAACACACAAACATTTATACATACTGTAATATAAATGTATAAAACCAGAAAACAATCTCATCAGAGATTAGGTCAGGGGTCTTCAAACCTGGCCCTTTTATGACTTGTGGACTTCAACTCCCAGAATTCCTCAGCCAGTGTGTTTGGCTGAAGAATTCTGGGAATTGAAGTCCACAAGTCATAAAAGGGCCAAGTTTGAAGACCCCTGGATTAGGTCTTCTTTCACTTAAACTGCATCATCTGTATATTTATTCTTTTGATGTGGGCTTAATTTCCCCCTTTTATTTTGAAGAAAAAAACTGATTCAGGGCCTAATTTAGTATCTTCCCTCATTTGGAAGTTGGTACACATCAGTCTCCTGTTTTAAAAAAACCCAGACATATATAAGTAAAGCCAGAGATGATTCCAGTGGGGAAATGATGAGTCTGTAGGAAAGGGTTGGGTCACTCTTCTCTATATTACACTGTTCCAGTCCAGATATGAGGGGTAGATATTTCGGAGACATTTATGACACAGTTGTCAGTTGGGACTCCTGTTCTCAAACTGTATTAATATTGCTTCTCTGGTTGAACAGCACTCAAAAAACTCTGCTTGGGCTAAAATGCAAGTTACATAAATTGTATTAGACAGATGATTTAAAATAGATAAATGATATGGTTTGTGTATTAACATTCCTATGATACATTGCTATACTTGTTGTAGAGTGACCGGGAAAAGACTGAAGGTCTTCCAGTGGCGCCTTTTATGGACCGAGACAAAGTGACCAAACCAACAGCACAGATTGGCTTCCTCAAATTTGTTCTTATTCCAATGTTTGAAACTGTAACAAGGGTAAGGGACTTGGAATATATAATCAAACCCCACTTGACCAACTAAAATGGTGCCCTCATTTAAAAGGACAACTTATCTTTTTTTTAAGTTAATATTTTTTCTCAGGCTTTTATAAAATACAGGTGTCCATTTCCCAGGGTCCTACTCCCAATCCTTCTTTATTGCATACAGTATAATGTTAGCATTTTTTTAATGCAGTGATAATTAGATAACTTTTCTTTCCCCATTATGTTAGCTTTTCCCAGAAGTTGAAGAAGTAATGCTCCAGCCACTTTGGGAATCCAGAGATCGCTATGAGGAGCTGAAACAAATAGATGATGCTATGAAAGAGGTCAGGACAGCACCTTCTCGGGTATTGCTTTATCTTATTTTCATCCTACTTCTCTTCTAACCAGCTCTCTTTAGTCTGCCTGCACTTAAAATATTTTCTGGAAAAATATCTGAGGTATTTCTTTCTCTGACTCATTCTTCAAAAAAGTAGGTCACTTTGCTTTTCCAAACAGTATTCAACCTATGTTTGTGTGTGAATGGATATGTGTGATAGCCACCACTTTGCTCCAACGATGTCCTAGAAAAAAGTTATTTCAAGCATAATAAAGAGTGCAAAATGGTGCTTAGGCTGCCAACGTAGGTTATGCTGCTATAGCACGGGGGGGGGGGGGAACCATTCCTATAAATTATGCAGGATTTTTTTTTAAAATGTCATGTTCCATATCTGTGAAACTTTTGGAGATTTTTTTTTCTTCTCCAAAGACAAATAAGTAGAAATTTATCTGTCCACAAATATTATGGAAGATCTCAAGTTCCTATTTTCTTCCAGTTTTGCTTACCACACCAAGTATTGCTTCTGTTGGTTCTCAACAGAACCTCCTCTGTTAATTGTTTTCAACACTTAGATTTTAGAAAGTGCGCAGTGGTCCTGTAATATACTGTATACTTGGCTTTCAAGTCCCAGTGCTTGGGGTTAGCAAATGGTTCCCAGGAAAATTCTAAAGTATACTCCCAGACTGTCTTCTCCCCCAGTTCAAATAATGTTAAAATTATGAAATTTTATTAGGTCTTTCTGATGAGCTTTGGTCATTTATTTAATTAGGCATCTGGTTTTTCGTGGAATATCACATGAATCTGCTTATTATCTGTCTACCAATCAACAATTTCAATGTATTTGGTAGCTCAGTTCCCTAAGGACAATTAAATAAATTCAGAGTTCAGCAGCCATAGCCAACTATTGTCTCCCTTGAGTCAAACTCACATCTAGCTGTTTGAATGGGCATGCCCATTCTGTATTCTTACCATTGCTCCCCCTTTTTTTGACTTCCCAGCCTACTTTGCAATCTTGGCCTTTATATTCAAATTTATTCCATCCCTACAATTCACATTTCTTCTTGGCTTTGAAGCAAAATTCTATTTTAAAAAGCCTTATTTTCTACCCTCTGGTTGCGAAGGACATGAATGATATCAACTGTGCAACATATATGATTTATTTTTATTTCTGTGGGTTGATCTGTGTGGGAGACAGTGGCTTATGTCTAGAAGGTCTATGGCCTGTCCGCTCTGGAGGTTGTTTTAAATGACAGCTATGGTTCCTGAGAACTGAATTTTATGTTGTGCAACAGAAAGCTGAGCAGGCTTTAGTCTTCCTCCCAATAGGATAAAGTTCACTGGCTGCTCCTTCAAACTGAGCAATGAAACAATGGAAACACTAACACAAAGTAGATTTCTGTAATGACCAGTGAAGCCAGCACACTAATCAAGCAGGCTTGCAGATGTTATACCCCACTTCTACCAGCATTCTTAAAAGGCAGTATTTTGTTTAGGTGACTGAAAATTCTTAGCAGGCAAATAAAATAAAGGCTAAACATTTTTCTATAATTATGTACAGGGCAACATAGATGGTCTTTCCAATCTGTTGTTCTAAGACTTTGGAACTCCTGCTAATAAAGATCAGGCTATTATTTTCTCAGATTTTTGTTGCATTTTCTTGATTTTCAAACTCCCTAAATTTTTCTGACTGGATTAAGGCTGGATCTTTCTGGAGAAAATTCTCCATTTTCTTTCTTTCTGGTGAGGTTGACAAAATTTAGAACAAAAATTTAATAAGTTTTGTACTCTATTTAGTTACATGGCTTCTTGCCTGGTTTCCTCTTATATAACTAAGTAGTTACTGTAGTTTTAAAAAATTAAAACCATGCTCAATGCTATTCTCAAAGCAGTTCATTTAAAAAAAAAAATCCCTCCCATGAAAATGTACTTTGTGTTTGGGGGGGCACTTTAAACTCCAACTAATAAATCATCACCTGTCGATATCTTATCTTGCCAAGTGGATAAGTCTGTAAGCATTCCATATTTGTGCTGCTCTTCTTCCTGAACTGCATTTCCTCTCTTGTTGATTTGTGTAGATTTTGTGAACTCACCTTGAAATTTGGGTTTAGGAAAGGATTCTGTACTCTGGGAAGCTGGTGGGAGAAAAAGATGATAAGGGTGCTGAAAAATGCAGTTGAAAGCTCCTTTTGTCTCTTCTCTTCTCAAAACAATCTTTGCAGATTATTTGAAACCAGTGCTTTTTTTGTAAAAAAAAAAAAAAAAAGGTGCCGGAACTCACACAATCATACAACCTGCCTTACCTACCCTATAAGATTCCATCCAAAAAAGATGCCAGAACTCTGTTCTGGGCGTTCTATGACAAAAAAAGCCCTGTTTGAAACAATGTCAAAACTGTGAATGCAGTGATTTCCAGTTTTTTAAGCAGTGTGCAATTAATCCATACAACTCACTTTTACTAGATGTAGGGATGGCCATTACCTAGAATTTTTTAAAAGGGGGTAAGTAAGTTTCAAAATGGCAGAATATTGGATTACTGTTAGCTATGATAGCAATAACATCAATGAATGCCAGTTGCAGCAAACATCAGAGACCTGTGTTCATAAACGTTTGTGAGATCTTATAAAAGCTTGGGCCCACTGCATTAAAAAAAAAGAAGAATGCTGGGGCAGTTGTATAATTGATGTGATCCAGTGGGGCTCTTGCAGTTTTTACAGTCATCTCTGATGCAAACATTACTCACAGTGTTATGCCTATCAGTCTACTTTAAACTCACTCAAAAAATGTTCACGCCAGGATAACATGCTGGACCTTTGCAATCTTAATTAGAATGGGATGCAACCTATATAGTAAGAATGTCTGGCCCCACCCTGGATTTTGAGCTCTCTTATGAAACTGTCAGCAAAAAACAGCATATTTCTATGCAAAACATATTATATGTTGCTTTTCTTAGCTGAACACCTAACTGCTGGAAATAAATACAAAGCCTATAATGGCTTTGGAATAGTCCTTTGCAGGGACAACTGAAAACTCCACTTATCTTTTTGGACCCTACACAGTAATAATTTTATGTGTGATGTTTAATAACACAGTGGTTGAATAGTTGATTTATGAAATGACATACCTTTCAATAAACCAGTTACTTTATTTCAGTTTCAGAAGAAGAAGAACGAAAGTTTGACATGTGAAACCAGAAAGAAGTGAAAAGCAAAGCACAAAGAAAGGTTACATATCAAAATAATTTCTACTTATTCTTTGAAGGGTTCTGAATACCATAGCAAATATTTAATAGTCAAATGTTTGAAATATTTAAAATAGGAAATCATTGTATTAAAGGAATCCAGCCAATTTCATTCATACATACATACATATCTTCCTATCATGCTACAATATTCCCTTTTGAGATAGTTTTATGCAAAGTGCAGAAAACATAAATATAAAAAGCATTTTAATAAATATATTTTAAATATACATTTTAAAATAAATTTAAAAAAATAAAAAATATACTAAATGCATATGATAAGAAAAAGAAAGGGAAACTTAGCTAAATCTAATGTAAGCTAACACCAGCTAGTATACCTTTTTATATCTTTTTATTCTTGCAAAACATTGTTTCTATAGTATCTTGCCCATATACTGCTCTATGTATTGCTTTTTTTGCAATATATTCAATTTTCTTAATCAGAAATGCCTTGGGAAAAATCTCAGAATACCTTTGTCTGGGTTAAATATTAATTTATTTATTTTTTGTAAATATTTTATTAATTTCAAGTTTTACAATCATAAGTACTTAATAAACAGCTCAGTGTCTGGGTTCCTTTATCATTCAGTGGTATATGTTAATTTTCACTCAAAATATCCACTACTACACCATCCAGTATTTTCCTGATCCTCTCTTCTTTCAATAATAATAATTTTCCCCCACTATGCAAGTATAATTCTTATTGCTATTAATACCTATGCAATTAAATATAAACATCTTTATCACATAGTATCTTATCTAGCCAAAACATATCTCAAATGTATTTGCAATCAAAGTTCCCTTATTCGATCTGTATCCTGTTTTTTCTCTTTTTTTTAATTTTAATTTCCCATCAATATTCAAAATAACTTTATCAATTATCATTTTTCTCATAATTAATTACATTTGGGTAACTAAAAACTTCCCTTATACCAACCCTCTTAGTATTTTCATATTTCCCATCATATAGAAAATTACATTATCCTAGTTACAAATCACATCCTTTTATTTTATAATGGTCCTTTTATTTCTAAAAATTGTCTATTCTTTTAATCATATTCAAACGTCCATTAGATGGTATAATATCTCATCTAATTAGTCAGGACCTCTATTTTCTTCAGTCTTACTTACTTACTTTCTTACTTACTTACTTACTTTGCCAAATAACTTTGCAAGTCAGTATATTTAAGTATATATTATTTGGAATAAAAAAGACAATTTAATTAAAGTGTTTTTGTAAAAATGCTTAATCCATTTATATTCGTTAAACAGCCTCCATTTTCTTTCTTCTTCAGTTACTCTTTTAGCTTCTTGTTCCCCAGTTTTCAGCATTTTTCCTAACAGCTCTGTCATCCATTCTATCAATTCTTCTTGTTCTCAAATATGATCTGAAGTCTTACAAAGTAAAATGTCTTTCCCACTTCCAGGAAAATTTTTATTTATCTGCACCTGTCTGTTGGTTTCTTCTTTCGAATCCTCTGTCTTTATGTCAGTTTCCTCTATTTTTTCCTCTAGTTTCTCAGTTTCTAGTTCATCCTTTGTGGTCATTTTCTGAATATTTTTTGCTTGTAGGTTTAAGTTGGAGAGTTGCTCATTTATGTTATTTAAATTATTTTTAGTCTCCTCATAATTTAAAACAATTGTTTCTTGAAGTTTCCCACTGTTTCTTAATATTTCTTGATAATTCTTGAAACTAAAAGTCAGGCAATATTTGTAATCCAGGCTGGCCAATTTAGAATAGTTTATTGTCTCCTTTATACAGATAAAACAGCCCAAGGATTTAATTTTTCCCCCTTTTCCCAGCTGCAATCTGCAAAAGTGAAAGTTTCCAGGAACAACAAAGAGCCTTATCTATGTCTGAGCTTAGTGTCAAATTTTCTTTAAGCATAATAAATTGTAATGCCAGGGTTCACCACTAGATGTCATTAACATCCATCTTCCAGTTTTTAAATCCAAACCTATTTCACCAACTTTCCAAATATCTTTTCAAATATAAAGTTTTAAAAATATTTTTGTTCCTAAATTTGTCAAAGCCATGTCGCTATATTAAATCCAAATTAATCTTGTAGTTTTCTCCAATTTTCACCGAAGAAAGTTATTCGCCACTTTTTTTTTCCTGAGAGAACAGAGTGGAAATTCCCCTTCTCTCTTTCATCTAGGGGATTCTTTGCTTTGGGAGTTCTTTTTTCCAGGAAAAGTTTTTAAAGTTATAAAGAGGGGATTGTTCTCACCCAGTTCCATCTTTCTTGTTCAGAGGTTGCTAATTAGTGCTTATCTTGGGTTGTTGGTGGCCAGTCTTCCTTCTGCCAGTTTGAACTGCTTCCTCAGATCAAACAGAAGGGCTGTCACCCCTCTGCAATCAACGAGGGTCCCTTTCTTCTTCATCACCTCTCAAGGGCAACTTTAGATCCTTTTTAGGGTCCCCAGCATAGCAAAATCGGATGTGGAAAATGGAGCCCCGTTTTCCTGCGCCCATGATGACACAACGTCTAACCCAGAAGTCCTGGGTCAAATATTAATTTAATAGAGACTCAATAACAAATAGAAAGTCAAGTGGTTTCTATTATTGGCTTATCAGTAGGAAACTGTTGCAGCAAATATTATTGTAATGGCCCAATTAAGAATGGAAGAAACCTAAAAGTCACAATCCAATGAAACACAAATACATTCAAGTCCCACTGATGTTCACTGATGTTCATTCAAGTCTCTTTTTGATTAGTTTCCATCCATTGCTTCTTATTCTGCCTTCAGGTGCTATTCTCCAAAGCACCTGAAGGCAGGACAAGAAGCAGTGGATGAAAACTAATCAGAGAGAGAAGCAACCTAGAACTAAGGAGAAATTTCCTGACAGAACAATTAATCAGTGGAACAACCTACCTCCAGAAGTTGTGTATGCTCCAAGACTGGAAGTTTTTAAGAAGAGACTGGACAACCATTTGTCTGAAATGGTATAGGGTTTCCGGCCTAAGCAGGGGGTTGGACTAGAAGACCTCCAAGGTCCCTTCCAACTCTATTATTATTATTATTATTATTACAGTAGAACCCAAATATCTTTAATTATTTGCTTTGGCTTTATTAATATCAAATGGCCTTAAAACAGACTAGCTATGACTTGTCTCTAGATATGCCAGTCGTTATCTTTTAGACATGCTGGCAGTGAAGAAGAGGGTTGTAGTCCAATAGTGCTCTATTTTGTACAAGGTTTTATTAAGTGTTGCTTGATCTACTCTAATCCTACTATTTCCTTGGTTAGCTGTGTTATAGCGACTTTGTCCCCACACTGCCATACTACAAGTCGTCCTCAATTTATGGCCAAAATTGAGCCAAAATTTCTGTGGCTAAGCAAGACAGTTGCTAAATATGTTTTGCTCCAATTTACAATCTTTCTTGTCACAGTTGCTAAGAATCACTGCAGTTGTTATATGAGTAACACGGTTAAGTGAATCTGTCTTCCCCATTGACTTTGCTTGTCAGAATGTCACAAAAGGTCATTGCATGACCCCAGGACACTAAAACTGTCATAAATACATGCCAATTGCCAAGCATCTGAATTTTTATAACTTAACCATGGGGATACTGCAACTGTCACAAGTATGAAAACTGGTCATAAGTCATTTTTTTTCAGTGCCGTTGTAATTTGAATGGTTGCTAACTACCTGTGTTTTCCTTCAGGCACTGAGGTAGCAGCACAGTACGCATTGCACTGACCTTGTTGCAAAGCCCTTATTTTGCTTCAGTCATGAGGTAGAAAGTGGCATTGTCCTTACAACTGCAATGTGGAAGAAAAAAAAATAAAGAGATTGGTGGATTCCTATGGGTTTGGTCTGCCCTTCCACTGAACATCAGATCTGGAGGTGGGGGGAAGTATGTATGTATGGGGGCTTTTTATTTGCCCAGTTTCTGATCCCACAGAGTAGTTCTATGAGAGGCCTGATGGGGAAAGAATCAGCATGTCAACACCGTCACTTCTCTTGCCAACCTTCTTTGTCCTGGGGTAGGCCAGAGGAGAGGGAGAAGTGCACCTGGAATAACTTAAAATGGTCAAATGGGCTGGGAATGAGAAGCCAGCATCATGAGGACATGTCCTTTAAAAACAGCAGAACAACCAGACATTATTCTTTGAGCCTAATGATGTTTATATTTTAATTTTAGCATTACAGTTGATAAAAAAAGATCCCTTAGAAGTATGGCAAGTTCATTGAAGCATTGTGGGATTATCCAGCACAGATGAAGGATGAAGCTGAATAATTAACACTACTCAAGCACTTTTCACATTCCTTTTCTAAAAACTAGTATTTTTCCTAATGGGTACAAATGTTAAAGAGCCATCATTGTTGCATACGATTTTTTTTTTTTTAATTTTTAAAGTGGTCTTTTAAATAATATATTCTTATATCAAAACAAAACAAGCAAATGGTTGTTGTAAGTATTCCCTTTTGTATATTTTATATGTGGTTATTTTTAATGCTTTGGGTGATTTTTTGAAAACATTGGGGAGGGGGGAGGGGAATGATGAATTTGTATGAAGAGTCATTTCAGAAATAGTTACAGTATATGAATGGGAACCAGATTCTGCCCCACTTTCTGCCTTCTGTCACTTTTCTCACATGTTTGACAAAACATCAATTTCAGGCTAGCTAAGAAAACAGTTTTCTGCTTTACTGGTCAGCAGCTGTTTGTAATCAAACAGCTTGAGAGAACTGAAGCCCGGGGCTACCCCTCATTGCTTGTTCCTCATTCCATTTTCACAAAGGCTGCTTCTTTACACTCATTTTTATAACTGAAATGTTCCCTCTGAAAACAGAGAGTGTGTCAGAGGAAATTAAATGTGCAGTTTGCTATTTTCCCAGAAAGGCTTGTAGCCTCCAGAAAGACTCCAAAACTTCTTGCCAAACTATCATTTTTAATGTGACTCCCAAAATATAAAATTATTAATTCTGTGGCTGTAACCCTATTAATAATTTAATTAGTTTAAACTGCATGGCACATTAATTTCAACTACATTTTAAATCCAATCTAGTTTTTATTGTAGTCTTGACCACTTTTTGGAATTGGACTCTTGGCAAACCATTGTAAGATGTGTCCTTAAATACTGAAACAATTAAGATGCTGTTGATGTCTGGGGCATTATTGACATGGGTTCAGCAATCCCATGTAGCCAGGACTTTGGGGCAGAGGTCCAGAAGTCTAACCAGCAGATGAACAGAATCACCTTGTCATGCAACAGTTCTGATTTACAGTTCTGACTTACTCCACTTTAAAGTAAAATATTACAAATTACCAATTCAACTGTTTTCTCAACATTTCCTCTATAGCAGCAGTTGGACAAAACCTAATTGGCTTAGCTAGTGAAATTATTCAAAACACTGTATCATGGAGATCAATTCCAGATCAGATACAAATATTGGATATGGAAGGAGTCCAGTGGTGGGATTCAGCCGGTTCGCACCGGTTTGGTAGAACCAGTAGCTAAATGTTGAATTTGGAGAAACAGCTGAATGCACACTGCTTCAGGAAGTCCATTCTAGGCCTGGAGGAGGCCTCCCAGACCTAGAACGGCCCACTGGAAGGGCATGATGCCATTTCCAGAAGTCCATTCTAGGCCTCGGAGGCCTAGAAGAGGCCTCCCAGCCCTGGAATGGCCCACCGGAAGTGCATGGATGCTACTTCCAGAAGTCCATTCTAGGCCTTAGCCCAGGCCTGCATCCACACAGAGAACCAGTTGTTCAGGTATTTGAATCCCACCACTGAAGGAGTCTAAAAATTGACTACCAGCTCAATAAGCTGTCAGGAGAGGAAAAGAGATTGTATGGGAACCATAACTACACTGCTCTTTCAAGGACAAATGGTGCATTAGTGTAATCAATAGCTAAAGCTGCACTTGGACTAGGTATTTTTCTTCTACCTTGCTTTAGTTTTTATTATTACATCACTGTTTTAAATTCTTTTAGTATACAGACTCATTTGATCTTATATAGTTGTCTGAAATAATCTACTAACATAACACTACAGTAAGCTTATGTTTGCCTAGTGAGCCATTGGCAAGATTTGATTTAACCAAACTTGGTATGCTGCAATATTTTTTTCTTTGAAGTTTACCTCATGTGGTAGATATCCTCTGATAAAGAATATTGCAGCTTACTTCTTAAAACCTTCACAGTTGGAAAGTGAACCTTCAAAAACAAACAAATTTCATTCAGTATAAGGCATTCAAGGTTGAAAGTCCTGGTAGAAAGGGAAGTTCATGTTGTTAGATGTCTGCTTACATTGGCCAAGAGATTGGTAACTATTTTATAAAGGTCCAGTTTGGAGTGCTATAATGTATCCAATTGCAATAATAATAATATGATATAAATGATACAAATACAAGATCAAGAATGGATAGACCAAACCATATATGCAAGATCTACAGAAAGCTTTTGAAAGACGGAGGATTCAGCAAGCCCACACTCAGTTTATGGCTTGGGAGTATTGCTACTACCATTGTTGGTCATCTTTCAAGCCCAATAGTGTGTCTTGGGAACAAGCAGAGCAAGAATGAAAACAGATGGGCAAAACAACTTACAGTATGTGAACCGGTTCATCTATTGCAGTATTACAGTGAAATGGATTGAAGCAGCACACCCCAAATTTCAGTGCTTTTTTTGTAAAAAAAAAAAAAAAAAAAGTGCCGGAACTCACACGTCATACAACACACCTTGCCTACCCTACAAGGTTCCATCCAAAAAAGGTGCCGGAACTCCGTTCTGGGCATTCTATGACAAAAAAAAGCCCTGGATAATTTTATGAATCACTTACGAATACTGACAAACCTCTGCTTAGCTAATGCATCTCTTCAAACCACGTGTGCTGCATTGGGCCAAAGGATATTACTAATACAGTGCCTTGTGCACAGATAACAGATACAAAAGTTAGAATAGGCAAAATAAGCTGTTTAAAAAAAGATGTAGGTCTCATTCAAATATCATGTTAAGCTATATGATTTAATTTTGACAGTGTACCATGTGGTTTTTGTTATTATCGTTTATTATCCACAGCTAATGGCTTTTGATATGCTCTGGTTCTGGAAATTTGGCTTAACACAATGTGTGAAAAAAATGTTGAGAAAAGATCTGTTATCTGACTGGAATAAAATGAGGTACAAAAAGATCCTCAAAGGGCTTCTGTATGGTGCACTGAGGTTTGACAGCTAAGATTAACCAATGGATGAGAAATCTTGGAAAGAAATGTGATGGGCAGCATATAGACATATGAAATTTTGGCCATGTTGCTTGTAAATGTGCTCAGAGTTTAGCCCAAAGTTTTGCTTAATTGTACAGTATAATAGATTGCCCTTATTTGGGAATAGTGATGGACTGTTTTAATTGTGCAAGATCCAATCTGGGTCAGTCACTGGGACCAGAGGTTTTGTCTTCATTTTAATTGCTGAAGTACTCTATATCAATTTACTCACATATACTGCCCACAGTCAGCCAGATTGGGGCAGCTGATACATGTTCTTAAATAAATACAGATGAGCACCAGAAATATGTATAAAACAGGAAAGGAAGGAGAATGTCTCTGTGATGTTCATTTCAGTTCTTTAAAACAAATGCTTAGAAAATACATTGAAGATGAACACAATGATCCAAGAGAAATAAATACCTGCTACCTAACTTCTTCTTCACCTACCATCAAGGTGTTGCTAAAAGGAGAATGCATGGAATTCCCAATCTGAAGTTTCATAAGATGTTCTTCTACTTATAAATTCAGAGCCATCCATAAGGAAGGTGCTGCATTACAAGGACATGAATGTTTCTTCTTGAAAAACACATCCAAGCCATATGCCTACTAGTTAAAAATGCTGCTTGCTTAGTCACAGTTCTTTTCACAAGAAGGAAACATGTAGGTGGGAGCTCAGACTTTTCTTTCACACAAAACAGGAACTGTTGGCTTGTTCGTTTAACTGAATAATCTCCCCATGTTCATTATGGTAAAAATGCTTTGGAGGAATATAACTTGTATTCATGTTTGGAGTTTAATGTATTTCTTCATGCACCACTTTCAAATAATTCTGCATGTGTTTGGATGAATGATTTGCTGTTTTTTTAGTCCGTTTCTGGTGATCAAGAATATTGTTTAATCCACCCACAATGTACACTTTGCACAATTATGTAGCCCTTCAATCAGTAATTGACCCACTTCTGAGGAAGAAGGTTGCAAATGTCCTTATTTATGAGTTGTTATTTGGAGGCACTTATGCATCAAATGAATTAAATGTATTCTTCTAAACAGCTGTAATTTCTTTTTAAAATGGAACCAAAATACACTGCTATTATGTTCTCTGTTAATGTATTTCTGGTATTTATCACAAGTCTCTGGGCTGCTTCCCTCTTCAAATTAAAGCTGATTCTGTGAGAAAAAAAATATGGTTGGAGGCAATTAATAGGTCTTTAGAGAAAAACTGTTAAGCGCCTGCACCTGCATCCTCTATTCATTGCTATTATATATCAGTGTCATTTTGAGAAAGCATATTAACTTGTTACACTCTTAATGGCTAAGGCCATCAGTCTCTTTGAGAGCAAAGTTTAAATTGCTGTTTATGACCTCCAGCAGCATTCATAGCTTGACAACAGCGAAGGGCTGCTTTTTTCCTGTCATAATTTTAATTTTTATTAAAATACATGGCCATGGACAAAAAAGTTGGAAAAGAGTACAGAATATAAATCTGTGTATTTGTGCCTATGACTAAGCTACCTAGATTACTGATTTTCACTGTTGTGACTTAAAATTTGGCCACGATTTTGGATGCTTCTTGATCCTGGTTATTTACAAAGTAGCACACAATTGCCAACCCAGATCAATCTTGTCCAGGATTAGGAGCATCAGGAGTATAATTTTAAATGTTACATCATACACGCTAACAATGGTACAAATATTTCAAATTCTCATGGTATTGTCTACATAAAAATCCATGTCTCCAACACTTCTCTAAGGCCATCATAAGCATTTCTTATACTGTACATTTTTACACAAAGATATGGAACAGCCAAAGTGGTCTCACACATCCTAGTCTTATTCCTGCTCAGTGTCAAACCATTTATTTATTCTCATGCATGCTTTGTATTGTATTCTTCTTACCACATTCAGTAATCAACTCATAGCTGTGCAAAGTATTCTGTAATTCAAACCTGTTCACTTTATCATATTCTTTTTCAAAATCATAAAATGTGCAATAAATTTTATTTCTCAGTAACTTGCTAATGATCAAAAATGTGATCTGTATATATTTTTCTGACATAAAGTCACATTAAATATCTCAGATTTAGCTCATTGTTGCCTCTTGTGCGCTTTCGATCATAAATTTTTCCAGATACACTTACCAAGCTGATCTACTTGTTTATTTATTTATATACTGTACCTGCCCATCTCACAAAAGTTACTTGGGCAGCTTACAGAAGCAGAATAATTAAAACTATATTACAATATAATAAGGTGACCAAATTTTTTACAATGAAAAGGAGGACACGAATAAATTGAAGAAAAAAATATCGTAAATAAAAGAAACATTGTATTTATTGCAACAATAATACAGAATACACTATAATATGATAAATGCATAATAAAAACATTTGTAACAATAACATTTTATATTGTAATTATGCTTACATGCCTATTAATTATTTAAATGAGTATTTTTCCATTGAATGAATATTTTTTGTCAATGTATTATCTTCTAACAATATATTGGAAATATCTGAACAAGAAATATCCTTCATATTGAATTTTATGGCAAGTGCTGCAGCTAGAGTATCAACATTCAATCTCCATTTCTCACTTGTCCAAAAATCTACACAGCTGGACTGCGCAGGGGTGGGCAGCGGAGACAGGTGTTATGAGCCAGGCGCTCCTGGATGGCCACGTAGGTGCACAGGGTGAGGTGGTGGCAGCGCAGGTCAGCACTGCGTAGACCACAGCTGGCGCAGCCCATGGAAGGTCAACTGCCCACCACGCCCCCGCCCACAGCTGCCCCGCCAGCACTGCTGCCCTGCCATGGAGAGCCGGCCCCGCAGCTGACAAAGCACCAGCCAAGCTGGCTCTGGCCCTGCAGCCACACACCCCCAGCCACCTCCCAGCACCATCGCCTATCCTGTGCATCCCCGTGTAGAACCGAACAGGGAAGATCAAGAGAAACTTACCACTCCAGTCTCCTCCAGCTATCTTCGGAACTAAGTAGGAGATGGTGTAGTTGGGTAGCAGTGAGGGATGCAAAGTTACTGCAACTTGCACGTGCAAAGTTTGCCACCCGGGTGTTTTGGTGCGCTCAGCAGCAATTCCTATTGGCTTTCGATAGCCAATAGGGGGAGTAGCACAGCTCATGCAAAAGTTGAAAAAAAACATCAAAAAAGGTCCCGGAACGCCTTCTGAGCGTTCTATGAGGGGAAAAAAGCCTTGCAGATTAGTCTTCAAATATAGAAAAAGAGGACATTTAGGAGAACACTTTCCGAGGGAGGTACAGAACTCACAAAAGGAGGACGTTATATGGAAAAGGAGGACATTTAGGAGGACACTTTTTGAAGGACAACTCACAAAAGGAGGACTGTCCTCCCAAAAGGAGGACGGTTGGTCACCTTAAATATAAAAACATTGTGCTGGAGCCCATCCTCAGGGAATTTTTCTATGCATGACCTACATAGAGTTCTCTGAGAGTGAGTTCCAGCATGAGTCCAAAAGCTTGTAAGACTAAATCTCTGGTCCTAGTGATCAACTCAGATTGGATCCTGCATGAATGACATGCTTATTTTTGCTTGGTTTGACGTGTGTGTGTGTGTGTGTGTGTGTGTGTGTGTGTGTGTGTGTGTGTGAGAGAGAGAGAGAGAGAGAGAGAGAGAGAGAGAGAGAGAGAGAGAGAGAGAGAGAGAGAGAGAGATTGTGTGTTTGAAAGATGATTAGATATTTTAAGCTCAGCTCCAATCATTTCACAAACACATGCAGATAATTTCTTCTCAATAATACAGGTACTTCCTTCACAGATTGCAGTGTTTGATGGGGTTGTTTGTTCTTTCCCAAATCCCCTACAGCCTCAGGGCGCCTTGATAATCTCCCATCTATATTCTTCTCAGATGCATCTTCTTCTTTTAATATAAACAAAAACAGCAAGGTGCTGCCACCTAGCTGGACTTTATATACATAACAATTTTATAACTATAACCTTTTAAACTGCAGACATTATAAATTGGTTTTAAGCTGGTATGCTCGTTAATAGTTCTTTTTAGCAGTAAAAACAACAAAAACTATAGACTAATCTGCTATTACTGATTTCACAGCACTAAGAAAAGTGCTTCTCTTCCTCTTCCCCATCTTGTATGCTTCAGTCTTTTAACTGTAGGGCCACCTAGTTATAGCTTTTATCATCGGCTTGCTAGGACAAACATCTTCAGGTTTTGCTTTTAGTTAAAAGGGATGGGAAAACAATAGGGAAAAGTTCTATTTTTTTTAGTAGTTCCTGTTTTTAATATAGTTTTAATGTTTTGTTATTTTAAGGGAGTAACCTATAAATCTATTAAAGCAGGGGTGTCAAACTGCCAGCCCGCCTGGTTGCATCATGCAGAGGCTGTGCCCACCCCAGCTCCAGTAATGCAAAAAAAAAAGTCGCAATAGATCACGACATCAATATGCCATGACATGTCAATTCATCGTGACACCCATGTATTAAAGAGAGGTGATAACTGAAGGCTGAATAGATGGTTAAATTGGGTTTCCCCCACTGAATCGCATCAGAAGGGTCAGAGCATCAAGTATTACATAGCTTGTTAAAAAAAGAAAGCATTACGTTCCTTCAGAGCATCCCAAAGAGACTATTAACATTTCCTTCTTTTACGCATTCCAACTTTTACAGCCCACATGGGGTTAAGGGTTTTCTGACTTAAGGATGGAGTAAATGTAGTATTATGAGAAGCATACTTTACATCACGAATGACTGAGCTGAGTAGTTTAAATTAAATCACACAACTACCTGGACCAAGTAAACAGCCTGTTAGCTTCTTAGATTTTTGTTAAGCTGTGCTGTTCAAAGTTTATTGCTAAGCATTTGTAATTGCTTGTTCTTCTCTTTCCAATATTTAGAACCAAAAAGGGTTATCTTTCATGTATACCACCTTGTATGATTCAGATTCAGGAGGCAATATTAAAATTACTCCCAAGCGCCATTCAGGAATTTTTGATCCCTTTTATTCCTTGTTCATGTTATTTTTCTAATCAGGCCAAAATACCATGGTTCCTTACATTCCTAGACCCAGACAGAGCAAGAAGGAAGATTTTGGTAGAAAAAAGACAGCACTGTGCTTAGTCTACTATGGCTTGCATAAGAAAGAAAATGCTACTTCAAAACTGGAACAACTAACAAACACACCAGGAGCCATCAGAACTATGTTTTGAATATGAGATGAACAATGTTATGGCAACATGGCAGAAAAGAGGTTGCCAGGGTGTGTTCATGTCATGGTTAAGTGCCTGGAGAAATCAATTGCTTTTTCCCCTCATAAACTACTCCAGAAACAGAAAACTTTTAAATAATGCTATGGGACATAGTGAGTCATGGGGATTTCCCCCCCCCCTCTTTTTTACACTGTGGGAACTACTCACCGTTTAAAATCATGTCATTATAATCTTTCACCATCCTACTTCTTCTCACTATTTCAACGTGATCGTTTTGTTAATTATAGGAACTGAACAGGGATTTGATTTGGTAAATATAGGACTGGACTGTGTCTGTTACTGGAGCAATACAAAGTAAATTGAAGAGCACATTAGCCCTGATGTCTTTTCAGCTTGAATTACTAATGCATTTTCTACATCTGGGAAGTATGTCCTAGGCTAGAAAGCAGATTGAAGTGATGCAACCAACAAAAGGAGCTAAAATAAACTAGGTCTTTAAAAAAAGGAGCTATTGTGATCAAAACTCTGCATTCTGCACCTGCAATTAATTGCAGGCGTTGTTTCTTTTAAATATACACTAAATTGCAGCTGCCAAAATAGGACAGGACTCAAGTACTTTGAAGAAAAGACTAATATATGCTTGATGCATAAATTCATCAAGGTTAATTCTAGCTTTTTGGAAAAGCTATTATAATGTAATCACTATTTATCTCGGAGTTCAGTGATTCTGTTATAGTTTTGACATTGCCTCATGTATATATTGGACATGCATCAAAACATGTGGCTTTATTCTCTGCATGGTCAAAATCTATATAAATATTTCAAATTCAGTTATTTTCTTTATGCAAAATAACTGGAAAGGAAATGGGGGTAGTATCCACAATCATCCAAATTTTACATTTGATTTTGCATGTCACTAATTGGGATTTAAATACACAAAACAAGATGCTGATCAAGTGCAAATTGTTTTCACATATATCGCCAAATCTCTCAGATGTCTTAAGGATGATTAAATACTATTCAAGCACTGCAGTTGTTAACATCAAATTGCAAGCTTTGGACTGAAAAAAACCTGAGAGATCTTCACATTGACTGAATGCAGTCTAAAATAGATGTTCCATAAATGTTTATTACTTCTTTACTGTTCAAATGAATAATTCCATGGCAACATGAACTGAGGAAATTCCTTCAGACAGCGCTGGCTCAATAGCCTTGAAACAAGCACCGCTGCCTATGGTCAGCAATGACCAGCAGAGTAAAATCAGCAGAGACTCCTTTACCTTTTTACTGTTGAAAGAGGTCAACTTAATTACAGTGCCAATCAAACATGTCCTGACCCAAATACTGTCACTTATGTTCTTGTATTAGATATTATGTCCTTACTTAATGGCAGATTTGTGACATGAAGTGATTAATACAATCATTTTTGCATCATTGAGGCTTACTGCAGACACTATTTGTTGTAATATTGTATTACAGCTGCCATGAACTACGTTAACACTTAATTTGTGTTTCTGCCTATTTAAATGCATTAAAGACAACTGGAGTTAAGCAAAGCCATTTTTAAGGGCTTCCTTCCGGTTGTTTCTATGATTCAGTAGATCACATCTACTAGAGAACTCAACAAAATCTTCAGATACAAAATCCCAAGAACAATTGGGCTTGACCATGAACTCTGGCAGTAATCCAGGTTCTTTCTTATATAACTATATGGTATATATTGCCTCAACTTCTGGAAAAGATGGCTGGGTAGAAGTTTGACACTAGGCAACGATTTGGGTCCATTTGACATTGTTGAGACAGCATATTCTTGGTTCAGGAAGAAAATCTAATCAATTGGATTTGGAGAAGTTCTTTGTTATAATCCTTTTCTAGGTATTATTTTCAACACTGTCATTCAAGCAACATTTTAAAGCCATACATTTAGAAACAAGTTACTTAAAGGCACTGGGATGTGGCTTGTTAATCAGGTTACTTCTTTTGCTATTTGTCAGGGGTGAGGTATGCTGACACTAACCATCAGGCAGATTTAATTTCAGTTATGCCTAAGGAAAAGTTTCTGTTTTCTGTTCAGCTGCTTCCAAACTCAGAAATGTGATAGCACCGAGTATTATCAGGACAGTTCTTCAGTTCTGACTTTTTTGGTCTGTTCGCTTGATTCATACTGTGGATCTTTCCTCTTATTTTTCTGCTGCTGTAGTCTCTCTTCTTTCCTTTTTAGATAAATGGACATATTATCAAAAGACGCCTTGTAGAGATTTTGGAAGCAGCTCTCTTTGTCCATAGCACCTGCAGAAGGTAGAGTAGGTTAGAATTTTAAATAACAGTTACTTTATAGTGCCTGGCAAATTAGTAAATATTTATAAGCAGGGATTTTGTTTATGCCTAAGATGGGAACAGATACTTAAATCCTTATAACCTATCTCCTACCACGGAGAAGGAAAAAAACCTATTCCAATTTCAGCTGCGCAAAGCTGTAGGTTCCTCTTTTCCCACATTCAATACCTGGCAGTTATCATTCTATCAGATTAGCTAAGTTGTTTCTCTCCCATTGGTTTATGACAAGTAAAACTTTAGCCTATGCTAGCTAATGATAAGCATATCTGAACTATTAGAAAGAGAACAGATAACCACATTTGGATTGCTCACTCTCCAAATTTCTTGCTCTTTTAGTTGCTGCAGTGCACTATTAATATAACTGATCCTTCCAGTCACTTGTCCAAGAAAGAGGTAGGGGTGGGTGTGTGTGTTTGTGTGTGTGTGTGTGTATTACTGAAAACGGACAGAAACCCAAAAATGGGGAAAAACTGTAATGCTAAAACTATAAACTCCCAAAATAAGCACATCACAGTTTAAAATCAAAGGCATTCTTTCTATTCCTGAACCAAATGTTGTGGATCTATCACCTGGTTGCCTCAACTTTTCCTAAAACATTAAGTCTGCCAATAGGCCTCAAAGAGCTTGTTTACCATTATTTGAGAGATTAATTGCTTAACTATGAAGGGTTAGAAACTAATCAATATGCATGGTTATTCTATGATCATTTATCCTTTCTCCCCTGTTTTTTGTCAGAATGCGCTACAATTGAGAATTTGCTTGGTTCCTCACCAATGTCACAGGAGTGCACTCCTCATTCCGGCAAAGATCCATATCCATTAGAAGTTTATGCTAAGCATCATGCTGTGCAAATTTAAGTGACAAGGTGACTTTAAGGATGATATTAACTGGTATTTTACTCAACTACTGCGCGGAACTAAAAACAGCTACCATTAGGACTGCGATACTTTTCTGCCTCAGCAAAGAAAATAATCACCAGCTCTACGTATCTAATTAGTCTTTCTATTTGACTGCACAAAATTAACTGTGGTGGATTTTTTATTTCAGCAACCGTTCCAAAAAACGACTGAAATATTCACTCCCACCCTCCTTACCCATTTTCAACATGTTACAGCAGAAGAGATACTTTGTTCCCCTTTAGAAGAGGAAGAGATGGAAAAGAGCTATTAAAATGCTGGCAACAAAAAGATATAGCAACCACCGTTTTCATAGGAGTAGCACCACTAATTAGGCATTAAGAGCAGGACTCATTAATCAGCTCTGTGATGTTAATTATCTACGATAATCACTGCATTTTAATAGTCCCCTTTCCTCATCTGCTGATACAGTTAAGATCTGTGCACAACATTCTACTTCTTACCAGGAGGGGGCAAGTATGAGAGAACCACTCTGTTGTGTTCTCACGGTATTCATCAGTAAGTTGGACATTTTAATACCTGATCCCTGTGGCTTAAAGCCAGCTGAGGAATTCTGGGAGTTGAAGTCTGCCCATCTTCAAAGTCGCCAAGGTTGAGAAACACTGGCTTAAAGCAATGAGGCTTCCAGTTAACTTCTCCCACCTCCAAGAACCAATGCTCATGCAGAAACCAAAGCTAAACCTAAAGTTCAGCTTTTATAGAACTTCAGGGATGGTTTCTCCAAATATAGTCACACCCTCCATATAAAGCATTTGTTTGGTCTGTTAAACTCATCTTTCCTACCTTGAAACATTCTCCAATGGTCACATATGTACTTGGACATTTTCACTAATTCTTTCTTGTCAATAACAGGCTGAAAACAAAACAAAACAAAAAACAGTAGCTACTGAAAATTTCATAGGAAACAGGGTTTGTTTTTTTTTCATATGGGCTGGCTTGTACTGAGGACAGCTCCTATAATCTTTTGTTTTACCTGACCCATTTCCATGTCTTCATGAAAGTATACAACAATAAAGACATTTTACTTGTATTTTTAGTAAATTAGGTCAGTGCTTCTTTTGCCTCAACAGATCTAGTTTTTGAATTTAGACTGCTGTGTACTGCGTACTGTGTACTGACCCACAATTACACTTGGTTTGTAGCTGTGCACCTATACACATAGAATTCCCAGGTTGAGCTGCTATACCGAGGTGGCACAGCAGCTAGAGTGCAGTACTGCAGGTCACTTTAGCTGACTCTGTTCAACAGGTCAGCAGTTCAAATCTCACCGGCTCAAGGTTGACTCAGCCTTCCATCCTTCTGGGGTAGGTAAAATGAGGACCCAGATTGTTGGGGGCAATGTAAATATATATATACATTGCTTACTGGTGTACACCGCTTAGAGAGTGCTTGCACTTAAAGCGGTATATAAGTCTCATAAATAAATAAATAAATAAAATTTTCTTTTTCCTAAGTTTAACTGAGAAGTCTTCAAACCGAGGTACAATACTCTAACAAACCAAAAGCCTAGCCACCAACAGAATGGCAGGATAGATGTGGCAAAGAAGTTATATTTACTTGCTTCTGATCTTCCTTCTGAACAAGCATAATGAAAAGAACCTCCCTTTGAGATGGAAAGTAATTTAATCTAATCAGCCTAGTAATTACTCTAAATTTTTCCACAAAATATGTAGCATGGCAGATAGTATCCCTTGCATTTGCAATACAATAGTATATATATCAAATGCTCCCACACAACCAAAGAACATACAATATTATATACTGTTATTCAAGCACATAATAAAAAAAACAATATGCCTTATTATGTGCTGTAATAAAGAGATTTAGTGACTAAAGGAAAAACATTCCTTTGACAAGGTGCCAGCCAAGAAAACCAACTGTAATGGCGTATGTGCATGACCTGAGTGGGGAACAACAGAAATGCTGTTGTAAAAAAACAATCAGACAGACAGGGAGGAGTCTGCAGATGCTTAATTGTCAGAGAAAACAGCTTAGGAAGGACTCACCCTAATTCAGGCATGTCAAACTCGCAACATCACGTGACATCACGTGATGTATTGCAACTTTCCTCCCATTGCCGGCAATGGAATGGGCGCAGTTTTGATGTGATGCATCCGGCCATGGGCCAGCAGTTTTGACATGCCTGTCCTAATTGATCAAAAGGTTAAAAGTAGCAGCAGGAAGTTTGTATTTTCCGACTTGCATGATTCTATTACTTGTGTTTCCTACAGTATAGTGACTTTTAACCATCTATCAATTAGGGTGGGTCCTTCCTAAGTTTATTTCTCTGAGCATTAAGCAACTAGGAATTCCTCCTTCTCTTGTCCACGGCTCCCCTACTCAGCTTCTTTTTCTCTTGCCCCTCAAGGTCATTTACAGATTTCATTACACCAGTTGGCACACCCACACCCAAATATGTCTGTCATTCATACATATATTAGTTATGATTTGAACTGAGCTACTCTATCCCACTCAGCATAATATTCAATTACATATTTTCTAACAATACTCTAATTTTTAATTTGAGGGAATTAAATTGAACTATATTTTCTTGTTTAGATCTAGCAAAACAAACAGCAACCATAGAAGAATCGTTAAAGAGCTTAAGTATTACAATACAGAAATACATGGTAACCCAACCATAGTAATTCAGCAATTGGCCAGAATCCTTTGCCATATTTCACACAATTATAAATACATGTAGCAGTCTGTGATCGTACAAATTCTCTCACCTGCCACTGTCCATCCTCAGGTTGGTAGAATAGAAGAGGTATTTGCTGATTCTCCTGCAGTACCCAGAGCCCACCTGTTTCCTCAAATGCAACATCCCAACCTTTGTGGCTCAAGGTTATTTGCTGCTTAGAAATTAGGTTCTGAGCACCGGCATCAAGCTGGAAGATGGATACTGCAGGAATACTTTTAGAAGCAATCACATCAAATTATTCCCACACGGCAAAGGAAATGATATAGTATAGATCAGGGCTCTCCAAACTTGGCAACTTTAAGACTTGTGGACTCAACTCCCAGAATTCCCCAGCCAGCATGGGGAGTTAAAGTTCACAAGTCTTAAAGTTGTCAAGTTTGGAGAGCCTTGGTATAGACCAGGGGTAGGCAACCTTGGCTCTTTTATGACACGTGGACTTCAACTCCCAGAATTTCTGAGTCAGCATGGCTGGTTCAGGAATTCTGGGTATTGAAGTCCACAAGTCATAAAAGAGCCAAGGTTGCCTACTCTTGATATAGATTAATTCACATCTGATCAGAACCAACTCCTGCTGAATTCATTAGAGCTATGGCAGCTAAAGGAACTCCTAATGTTTCAAGGAATAATCCCCATTATCTGTCATGAAGAGATAGTCAGCAGCTTCACAATGTGAGCATTCATTAGAAATCTACTATAAACTCTTATTATCAACTTATTGAGCACCAAATTTCTATTGCTAAATAAGACAGTTGTTAAGTGAGCTTTATCCCATTTTACAAACATTCTCACCAGAGTTGTTAAGTGAATCACTGCAATTGTTAAGTTAGTAACATGGTTGTCAAGTAAATCTGGCTTCATCATAGAGTTTGCTTGTCAGACGGGCCCAGGGACACGGCAACTGTCATAAATACATACCAGTTGCCAAGCATCTGAATTTTGATCCCGTGACTATGGGCATGCTGCAACGGTCGTGTCAAAACTAGTCAGAAGTAACTTTTTTCACTACCACTGTAAATTTCAATGTTCACTAAACATGGTTGTAAGCTAAACACTACCTGTAAGTATAAACTAGACAGAAATCAGACATAGCTTATAATGAAAAAAAATGTAATTGTCTGCTGCTTCTATAGTAATTTTATTTTTTTCCTCTTACCAGTCATATAAAACAGCAATGTAATTTCCGTCACAAGAATAAGCTATTCTTGAGACTGCATATTTCTGAGGAGGAAAAGAAATGTAATCATAATTGGCAAGAGCTGATTTTTTTTAATGTGTGGGAAGAAGTAGGAAGAAATAGAAAAACAGTAGTAAAAAGAAACCTGTGGGTCAAAAATATACCCAGTTTTCTATAACAAAGACAGGCTGTCTCTTATTTTCTGTTCTCAGCAAAGACAGCAAGATGAAAAATACAAAACATCTAAGGCAGCGGCCAACCTTTTGGGCATCAGGGACCGATTCCACGGAGAGAGGTTTTTCCGCGGACCAGAGGGAGCGTGGTGTCGTGTGCTGCCTGCATCCTGAGTTTATGGCATGCCGCAGCCCAGTGCCAGTCTGTGGCCTGGTGCCAGTCCATGGACCGGGGGTTAGATACCCCTGATCTGAGGGGGCAGAGGTTGGATGGATAGTTAGTATGCAAAATGAAAATGCCCTTGACCTCCATGACTGGTGTAACCATTAAATCATGCACAATTGTTTAGTTACAATGTTTAGTATATCAGTACATCTGTCCACATAGTGGAGGTATATACTATAATGGTTAGTACAACAGACAAGAGTATGAGTATCTGCTTGTCCATGCAAACAGATAATTTAGCATTCCTCAAATTAGTATACTTATGTTGTGAAGTAATTGCATTCTACAATGGCTACTTCTCAGAGTAACAAAATATTGTTTACCAAGAAATCACCTTTTGATTTATAGAATCAAAAGGTGGTTTTCAGTAGCATAAACCTGCTCTCTGAACTTTATGACAGTTCAATAAATTCATTCAAAAAAGCAAGCACAGATGTACAAAAAGCAAGGAGAAGTAGAAACGTGCAGACTATATTATAGAAAACATCCATACAAAAAACAATTACCTTCTCATTCTTACTATCTTCATTTATATTCAAATTATTCAACTGAAAGCAATGTAGCTCTTTTCCACTTTTATACTTCCAGAGCCTCAATGTACCATCCTAGGAAGTTCAAGAGAGGAGCTAATTATTATTTTTGCCAAAGGAAAGGAGTTATTAATTGCACTGAGACCTCTTATATATACCCGTTAACAAGGTTCATATCATACTAAACTATAATTCCTTTATCTAAGCTTGGTTAAACAAGCTATAATGGCTGGGTCAACACCTAAATCTAAGCATGAGTCATAAGTAAGTCACCACAATGTGCATAAACACAATTTGATGAGCAAAAAAACAAAGAAACCACACTGTGACTTAGCACAATTATAAATTCAACCAATGGTTTAAAAGTCCTCCAAAATACATGTATATATATATCATATATATTCAACAATGAATATACAAGATTTCTAATTATTTCTAATAACATATTACTTTATTTCATATTGAACTTAACTAGATATTAATAATGAATCATAAGGTCTAAAATATATGTGAGAATGATGATTTCCTATAGTGTTAATGATTCTTCATGTTTCAGCCAAAAATATGAGAGAAAGCAAGGGAAATTGAATCTTTTACATATTAGAGGAAAGAAAATGCATTTTATAAGTAGTTTATTAACATTCTAGAAGATGTATAGAGTCCCAGATAATTTACATACCCCGGATGCTGATAAAAGAAGATCAGGAAAGTTTGGCACTACCAATATTCTGCTGACAAATCTAAAGAGAAAAAAATAAATTGAAACAAAAGCAATAAAGAGTAAAATTATATGTATATACAGATGTGCAAGAAATTTTGTACATAGACTGATATCTTTCCTTGTATTATGAGAAAAATCTGCATATGAAAAAGTTTACTGTAATATTTTTTTCTTTTTAATAAGTCAGTTTTAAAAATAGTCCAGCAATCTATTCATATTCTTAAAGTACATTCATCTCCAATTTTTACATAACAGTGACAAATAAAAGAAAAAACTAAAATAAAGTACTGTATAACTGTAAACTGAATTGCAGACCTCCATTTTATTTCACAATCAAGCTGAAGTATTGGGCTTCAAGTATCATACTAATTAGATTTGTATAGCATAGCTATAAGTAGCAAAGTGTGAAGTGTTTCTTTGAACATTAAGATTACTAATTGATTACCACTAGAAACCATTATTACTTCAGATATCAACATTTTCCAAATAAATATGACACTAGAGTGATAAATTAAATGGATTAGAGAAATCAAACCATGAAAAAAAAATGGCAAATGCACTGAAGACTTTTTAGAAATAAATTACTGCTTTACTGTATTGTGAATTTACACAACAAGGAAAAGAAACTGGGGAGACACTGAATGAATCATCATACAAAATCAGCAGGCCTCACTTGAATCTAGATCCTTTTGGAAAAAATAAAGGTAAAGGTTCCCCCTGCCCAGGTGTATCCGGCTCTAGGGGGTAGCGCTCATCTCTGTTTCTTAGCCGAAGGAGCCAACATTGTCTGAAGACTCTTCCGTGGTCATGTGGCCAGCATGACTATATGTTGAGGTGCACAAAACACTGTTACCTTCCCACTGAAGTGGTACCTATTTATCTACTTGCATTTGCATGCTTCCAAACTACTAGGTTAGTAGAAATGGAAAGTCTCAATTCTTCTCCTTTGTTGGGGACTAAGATTATCACACGCACACAAAAGAAAATAATAATTCTCTGAAATACTCTTAGATTATTGTTAAGAAATCCCTTTTATGCTAGGGAATGTTCTAATGGATGACATCTTAGATACATTTTGAAATAGCAACATAAGCTTTTCTGAGAATCTGAATTACCTCAGCATTCAATTCATTTATTTCTTCTAAAATCAGAGCTAAAGTGGATTCTTTAAAAACTTCCAAGGAAGTGAACATTTATTATTTTTTTAAGTAGTCTAAAGCATTTCTGATCCCAAGAGAATGATTAGAAAATTAGCTATTATGAAGCTTGAGCTTAAATATTGAAAATAGGTTTTTTTGGGTTATACTTACTCTCTGTGACCCAGGCAAAAGGACTCTATAACATGTGGTGCTTTAGTCAAACTAACTCTAATCTTCTCATCTCGATCAGCTGTTACAATATATCGGTCATCAGGACTCAGTGACTAATGACAATAGATTAATAGAAATATGATCAATGACATGTTCAGGCATAGTTATCCACCCACCAATTATAACATTTGTTTGGCTTCAAACTGATAGTCTGGGAAAGACTCGAAGGAATAATCAAAAGTTACTTGTCTATAACAAATGTTTACCTATATACCCATTTATCTTAATAATTATTAATATACAGAAAATGTTCATGTTTTTTTTGTTTTATTTGACAAAATTGAACTCATTAACCAAGCAGTACACACCACCTCTCACCCCAAGCTACCTCATAGGGGTGATTCTGAGGAAAAAAATAAGATTTTATTTTTATCAAAATATTTATCAAAGCTGCCCATCTCCCTCACAGACTGACACTGGGCTGTGTACAGATAAAATATCAAACCATAAAAAACAGTATATAATTTTTTTTTAAAAAAAGCATGGATGAATTAAAAATAACTGTCAAAGTTAGTTAAAAGGCAGGAGGAGGGCTTTCAGGACACTAGCCAGCCTCATGCCTGCATGCAGCTATGTGAGTCCCAAGCAAGATTGCAGAAAAAGTTTTTATGCCTTTCTGGAAGGTCAGGGGGAGAATGTTCCACCGGGCAGGGGGAATGGCAAGTGGAATTCTTTATCTGATAGGATCTGTAACATATCTTCCCTCCCTGATGTAATGAGATGAAGACAGACTTAAATTTGATTAGCCTTTAATAAAATATATTATTAAAAACTCATGTGTACCAAATCCAACAAAAGAGACAAGTGTCCAAGCTCAATGGTTCCTGCATTTTTTGGTTCTATTATTGAATAAGAATACACATCGCCAGATTTGTCAGCAACCAAAACCTTGTCTTCTGCAGAGGTTATTATCAGGGAGGTACATCTTCTCATGACAGGTCTGAAAAGAAATATAATTATAATAAAAATATAATTCAACATTTCTGAACTTCAAAAACTAACATGGTCTACATGTGACAAACAAAAACATAACAGTTCTGTAACACCCATTATCTCCTAGAATTCTAAAGATGGTTGGGAAAGATACCCAGAAGACTTCAGCTTGGAAGCAGCTATATTAGGTTCACAGAAAAAAACAACAACCCCATTACCAGTATGTGAGGCTCGCACATGGTTTGGGAGATTTGCCAACGTCATGGAAAGTAATTGTGAAGCCAATGGCTTATCCAAAGGAGTTGCAGAACAATACAAAAATATTTGTAGGCTGTTCTGCAGTTGAAATTGACAACAAAAATATAAAACACAATAATAAAGCTAAGAAACAAATCTGAGAAGAATGGTAAATTCTGGAAAGGAAAACTTGTGTGTATACCCTTGAGGCAGTCTTGACTTCTGGCAACTGCCTGGGCTAGTCCCTGCACTTTTCTTGGAAATTATTTGCCCTTGCCTGCTTTCAAGCTGAGAGTGAGTAAGGGCCCCAAGGTCACCCAGTGGACTTCATGCTAAAAAATGGATGGTCTCTGGGTTTATAGTCTAGTGCCTTAACTGCTATACCAAACTGATTGTCTACTGAAAGCCTGCATAATCATTTCTGTTACTAATGCTTAGATTAAAAAAAAATAAAAAAAAAACATTTTCCTCCCCATACCTTATACTCAGACATTCCCAGGAAGGCTTTCTGCAGAAAAGAATTAATTGTTTGTTGTCATCAGTCAGAACAAAATACTTCCCTGATGAAGAAAATGCACAGGCAAGGATATTATTTGTTTTGCTTAATGGCTTTCCATCCTCACTAAAAAGAGAAAAAAATGTGAAACATTTGATTCAAAAATAAACTATTTCAAGCACAACTTCCAATTATACTTTATGAGATATTTTTAATTATTTTTCAGAACAACCTTCCTTTAATCATGTCATAAATTAAGGAAGAAGGGAAGTATGAAAAGCTATTTCCTACTATTTATTTCAATTATTTGATTTTAATTTGTGTTTTAATTGACATCATGGTAGAAAAAGCACTGCAGAGGTTCTTTCCTCTTATAGGCAATGCTTATTTAAGAGAGGTAAATGCCATATTTTCCAGAAGTATCTCTAGAGATGCTTAATTATAGATTCAATTAGCCCCAATTAGCATAGTTGTTTGTCCTTGATATGAGATTGCAGTAGAAGTAATGTTCTATATACCTGGGAAATTAAATACTCACCTTTCTTGCTTTACTTGAAGTTTTTTGCTTGCAGTAGTACAGTCATAAATGAAAAGATCATCATTGCTGTCAATTAAATGAATAAACATCACATAAATATTTTCTACGGAAGCTATCTCTTTGTGTTGAATTCTTAAAAAAAAAAGCAGAGCAATGCTTCAGATACCTGTAGTTTACTAACCTATAGCTCTGTTTTTTTCCCAGACCTAAATCTAATCTCACTTGTTGGCATTCTCTGCCCCTATTCCAATTTCTCTTAACCTTTCTTAAAACATGATGACCAGAACAAAAACAGTACTTGAGATAAAAGAAGATCAATGCAAATATAGTGGAGCAATATATCTACTGATACAGAGTAAAACTGAATTTACATTTTCAACAACCTTATATTCAACAAGGTCAGCTATAAGTCAAAATACTTCTTCAGAATGTGATTATCAAGCCAAATATACTCCCTTCTTGTTTTTGTGCATTTTATTTTTTTCCTGTTTCTACTTTGTTATTTTAACTTTATTTTTCAGCTTGTATGCTGCCTCAAGTACTTTTTCATCCCACTTCTCAAAACTATCAATTGAGTTTTGTTTCTGTCTTCTACAATACGCTATCTCATACAGTTTTGTTTCATCTAGAATTTGTAATTTCTGTCATCTTTCAATCTGCCAAGCCCTTAACATTTGTCAGCTAATTAACAAATACCCAATAGCCTATATTAACTTCCAAATCAGATTACTATCAGGTAGTTTGTCAAATTCTATGCCAAAATCAAGGTACATTATATCCACAGGATTCCTACAGCCCATTAAGAAAGATACATGTTTTTTTAATAAAAAGGAAAAAAAAGATACATGTTATAAGTATCTTCCCCAAAATTTCTATGTAGAAATCTAACAATAAATTAAAATGTCCACAAGTTCTCAGTATTTCCATTTGGTCTCTTAAATGATCTCCATTGATTAGATATTGGTTAGATTCTATTCAAATATAGGCAATCTTTTGTGCCTTCCTCTATCCTGTGAATAAGAACGTCTTAAAAAGAAGAATTTAAGAGGTGGTCAGAAGTTTCCTAGGTAAATCATGCTTGGTAGTTTGTCCCCATACAGATACTTGGAATAAAGTCTTCCATTACTCTCAATTCATATCTTTATGAAAAATTTGCTTTTGGAGGATTATTGAATCACTGTGAAAGATAACTAGTGCTACTATTGGAAAGAGACAGTATCTTTTTTAGAAACTTCCAAATGTGGCTTTTGTTTTTGTTTTGGTTCCTTTTAGTTATTGATGATTCCTGGCAACTGCCTGGACAAGTCCCTTAAGTTTTCCTTACAAGGTTTTTTTTGGTCATTATTTGCCACAGCTTCCTTCCTAAGGTTGAGAGAGCTCTGTACACTAAAACCAGCAGTCTCTAGCCTGGTGCCTTAACCGCTACACCAAACTGGCGCTTTCTCCATATTAGTAGTGTCATAATTCGCAATTAATAAGAAGATATAATCAGAAGCTTCACTATCTTTGTCTCCATATTACTTTTCTTTTGCCTCTTTGCTTATACAATAAGCGTATACAATATCTAAACTAGCCCCCACCAATTTGATTTCTTCAAAACATATTGGATTACCATTCCCATCATGCCAATCAGTATGCATCCGTTAACAGTATAATCTACAGGCCAGAAGGCCTCTTTCACTCACTTGGTCTCTTTATAACCAGCGGCCAAAAACTTCGTGCCACCGCTAACCACCATCAGATCCTCGCAAATGAGGAGCCTCGGAGAAGCACTCACGATTCCAGCCACATCAGCCGCCTCCATCGCCAGGCCCAGACCCGCATTGGGGCGCCCGAGAACCGTCACCAGCTCATGATGTCATTCCCCGGCCTATTAATGATGATCTCAGACAAGCCTGACTTGCCATAGAGATGAGAATGTAGTTGTTTGAAACCTGAATTGCTAAAGTGATTAGAATTACGCCTTGTCCCTTTGTGGGAATAGAACTGTCAGAAGATGAAAAGTCCTAGCGATATTTATGCCATAGGTCTCCGTAATCTCGTCTCGTGGTAATGAACGCCCTGGGGGAGGCGCCAATCATAGGGAGGAAAGCTTTATTGCCTTCATAAAGGGGAATATTTGCAGCTCAGGGTTGAAATGAGGGGTCCTTGGTGCTGATGAAGTTACTTAGTTTGGGTAATAAAACGTTTGCAAGAAAACAAGCGAGCTCAGAGAGCATCAAGAACACCCGGGGGGGGGGGGAGGACGACAACATATTGCACTCAGGACAATGATCCTTTCAAGGACGTCCTTTCAACATTTTTAGCTGAAGCTCTGTCCACGTCCGTCTGCCTGGGCTTAGAATACACAGAACGGAAGGACGTCCCTCCACTCATCTCTCAAATTAAAGGGAGCTCGCCATTCCACCTCCCGCCACTACTAAGCAACACAAACGCCTCCCACCCACGATTGGCCTACAGTACTTGCATCGGGACGGCGGTTGCGGAAGGAAAATGGGGTGGGAACCTTTTCTTTGCGGCCAAAGGAGGACACGGAACAAGATTTGGGTGACGCCAAGATGGCGGCCTCCGTGATGGCTTGTTGCGGTCGTCTCCCGGCGTTTAAGGTAACGGAGTTGCTTATGGATTTAGTTTTCCTGTTGGGTGCCTGCCTGTAGCCAGGGTTATAAGCAATTGCTCCGCTGTATATCTGTGCCAATAATTAGGGTTTGTCTGTCTGGATTTGTCCTGAAGTTTCCAGCTGGTATAATTAGATTCAGGACATTTACTAATTTCATTCGGGGTATCTACTATTATCTAGAGGTAGACTATATCCGAGGATCACTTTCCAGTCTGCAATGCGAAGAATAAACTGTTAACGAGTAAAAACATAATCAAGAAGGTTTACGATTCTTATGTCATAAATTGTAGTGAATTTCAGTCCACTTCATCAAATATATGGATGATAATTTTGAGAAAAATTGAAATAAGCATACTCTTGGGGCGGGGAAGAAAAAAAGGGCAATGGTGGCAGGGAAGATAGAGACCAGAAGCAATGTTGTAGAGAAAATGTTAAGATTTCTTTTGCAGCACCTTGAGCTCTTGACTATGGAGATTCTCAGTCATCCAGATCATAATTATCCCAAAGGTGCTTTTTCACGAGGCAACTGGACTTTCTTGAGCTCTTGAGTTCAGTTGTGGCTAGAGTGAATTTTATTTTGAAAGATGTCTGAAATGAGAGATTTCAAGCACTACCAGTAATAAGTATTTCTTTGCTTGAGAGAGTAGATAAGACTGACAAAAGAAATCTTTTAATTGTTTTAGTATAATTAGGACAGGAGTATTTGTGGTATCCACATTTTCTCTTTGACAAATATTTTATTTACTTGAGGGTGGACTAGTTGTAGTTTCCGTTGGATATGAAGTTAGTGTCTGATGTTGCTTGGGTTCTTACAGAGTTCTGGCTGAATTGACTTGCATTTGACTCATTTCAGGGTAGGATTAGGATAGGATGTAGATTATTTGACTAAGTGTGATTAGACACAGGAGAAATTTGTTTCCAATGCAGAAGCTCAGTGTACATGCAAAGCAACAGAGTAATAACAATCATAGTAATGATACCAATAAGAGAGGTAATAAAGAAGATAAGGATAATTGTAACACTACAGCCATACAATATGTGTGGCAGAAGGGAAAAAACTGTCTCTGTGTCTAGTTGTTTTGGCATGCAATATAAGTCCAGAGGAGAGGAATTGAAACAGTTATGTCCAGAATATGAGGGGTCTGTAGATACTTTCTCAGCCCTTTTTCTGATCTGCGCAATACACATATCTTTTATGGCAGACAGGCTGGTTGCAGTTGTTCTTTCTACAGTCCTAAAGGAGTCTGTACCTGCCCTGTTTGGTTGCTGAACCAAACCAGACAGTTACAGAAGTACAAATGACAGACTCAATAATTCCTGTATAAAACTGTATCAACAAGCTCCTGAGGCAGTCTGAATTTCCTGAGCTGACACAGGAAGAACATTCTTTGTTGTGCCTTTTTAATGATGGTTCTAATGTTGGGTGTCCATTTCAAATCCTGGGAGATTCTGCAATCCAAAAATTTGAAAGACTTTACTTCTGAAATTGTGCTGTTGAATATAGCAAGAGGTGATAGATAGAATGGCTCCTCCTAAAATCCACTCCCACCTCTACAGTTTTGAGCATGTTCAGCTCCAGGTTATTCTGGCTGCACTCCAGGGCCAGTTGTTCAACCTCCCATCTATATGCAAACTCATTAGTCTTGAATGAGACCAATGACTGTTGTATCATCTGCAAACTTCAGTACTTTAACAGGGATCCCTAGAGATGCAGTCATTGGTATAGAGACAGAAGAGCAATAGAGAGAGCACACAGCCCTAAGGGGCGCCTGTGCTAATTGCCCAGGTACTAGATGTAACTTTTCCTAGCTTCACCTGTTGCTTTCTATCTGTCAAAAAGTTAATAATCCACCTTCAAGCTAGCTGAATTAGTTCAGAGTAAAAAAATTCTGCAATAATGATATTGAATGCCAAGCTGAAGCCTACAAACAGGACCTGTGATTATGTAAAACTATGTATCATGGATAATTTAGTCTGTAGATTACCAGGTTTAACTGTAAGCCTATGAATATTCTATATGCTCTTACTTTATAAACATGAACCATGAGGAGTCAAGGACTGCATGTATATAGCATTGATGGCATATGTTGAAGCTTTTTCCTTGCACTCCCATTCTTTTATCTTCTGTGCTGCAGTTTTCCAGTTACTGCCAGGCATCTTAGAAATACCTGTTAATAAATTATATTTATCATACAGACTACATTATTTTGTAGTCTGTATGAAACAAATGACTTTTAGAATCTTTTCTATAACCTAGCCTCCTTAGGTTCTTTCAATAATTGTAATATTGGTAGTCCTCAACTTACGACCACAATGGAGTCCAAAATTTCCATTGCTAAGCAAGACAGTTGCTGTGAGTTGTGCCCCATTTTACTACCTTTTTTTGCCACAATTGTTAAGTGAATCACTGCAGTTAAATGAGTCATATGATTGTTAAGTGAATTTGCTTGTTGGACATCAGCTGGTGTCATGTGGTCAGCTGACTACAGGACACCACGACAGTGCAACTGTAAAAAATACATGCCAGTTGCCAAGCACCCAAATTTTGATTATCTGACTGTAAGGATGCTGCAATAGTTGCAAGTGTAAAAACTGGCCATAAGTTACTTTTTACAGTGGCATTGTAACTTTGAAAAGTCACTAAACAAATGCTTGTAAGCCAAGGACTACCTGTAGTTCTGTGCATTGCACAGCTTACTTGAAAATGTAAGCAAATTTAAGCGAATTATTCTTAAATCTATATAAAAACAGCCAGAAAAAGTACAGGTCATTAGTTTCCTAGACTAAATTTTAGATGTGATTACCTGGAAATCTGGAAAAAAAATAAAAATAAAACCAGATGTAATTAGATACAACATTGAAGAGACAATAAGTGGTTTAATATTTCTAAGTGTATATTCATAATCTACTTTATTAATAATGCTTCACATTATTAAACTGAAAATAAGACTTCAGAATTTTTCATAAGGAATTCTTATGGGAGCTATTTTATAATCACTATTTCATGCCCATGTTACTGATCTGTGGTTATGTTATTGTATAGTTTACTACAGGCATGTCAAACTCGCAATATCACATGATGTCGCGTGACGTATCGGAGCTTTTTTGCCATTGCCGGCAATGGGGTGGGCGCGGCTCCGGTATTATGAAACCGGCCCACGGGCCAGCAGTTTGGCACCCCTGGTTTACGTATTTTTGAGAAATATATGCTAATTTAAAACATTGTTCATCAACTATCTTTCCTAATTCTTACAGGTTTTGTCACAACAAGCATGGGGTCTACGAAGTATGCCTTCTGTTTATGTCTGCACCAAACCAGGTGATTCCAAAAAAGGCTTCCCAAAAGGTAAGACAATTTATAACAACTATTGCCAAGAAAAATATTTATTATTGAAGTAACATTAATTAAGCAACTACTATTTTTCATATTTTGTAGAACGTCAAGATGAAAAGCTTTTGTGTGGGTTTTGTTATAGGATGAATGTTCTTACTGAAAAGAATTACATCTAATAAAATACTATTGCTCTGCCATCTTATAAACCATAATTCCCCTGGGAAAATCCATTAAATGGACAGGAATAATCACCCACTCTCATTCTCATTCTCATTCTCTCTCTCTCTCTCTCTCTCACACACACACACACACACACACACACACAGAGAGAGAGAGAGAGAGAGAGAGAGAGAGAGAGAGAGAGTGAGTTTCATTGTTGGGTGACTCTAGGTTTGCAGATTTTATAATCCTGTTACACAAGCTACACTAGCTTCCGGTTTCCTTCGAAGTGCAGTTCAAATTGCTGTCATTAACTTTAAAGTCTACATGGTACAAAACCAGACCATTTGTCAGGCTGCCTCTCCTTGAAAGTATCTGCAATCCTATGGGTAGAATGGGCATGCTTCAGGTCCCTTCTCTGAAATATTGTCATCTAATGGGATCTAGGAAGTTATGCTTTTTCCATGGCTGTCCCTATTTTATGGAACACACTCCCCTGGCAGCCCCCGCCCCCTGTTAGCCTTCTAGAAAGCACATAAAACAGCAGGCATTATGAGAAAGAGATGGAGCCTGCAGAGAATTGTTGGAGCACGTGAGGAAGTTGATGAAAGCAGTGAGTTTCTAGGTTTTTTTAATGTTTTTATGATTTTTATAGTTTTATTGTGAGCCACCTAGAGTTGTTTTAAAATAAGTGGCCACAAAAATCTTAAATTAAGGAATATATAATACTTTAATTTGATTCTATATGAAATCATAGAAAGTCTGAAAGAAATTACTATACTGCATGATACAATGAATGCATGCTGCCTGAGGGAACTGACAATCTCTGGAAAAAGTTACAATCTCAAAGACTTTGAAAAATCACTTTGCATCTATGCTAGCATTTTTTCTTAACA